TGGTCAGGGACTGGGGAGTGGGACAAGGGAGATGGCCATTTCAAGAGTTTATGTAGTTGGGGATGTTAACAGCTGAATACACTAGAGGAAAGGATCGAGAAAACTGTCGAGACCTGAACTGTCAGCAACAAGTTCATTACTCCCATAGTCTCTTTGGCCCTGACCTGCTCGCCCAAGATTTGTGACCAAAGGTGTGTGAGAGTGGCCAGACTTGACGGCAAAGCAGAGCCAACGTTTGCCCAATGGTGGGTGACTCTTAATACCTACTGAGAGTCTGTTTTTGAAATTTTCTGAAAAAGAAGAAAAGTAAGACTGTAAATTATCTAGTTCTCCAAACAAAAAAACGTGCCCATGTAAGGGTATAAAATTAAAGTGATAAAAAAATGCCCTTGAGAGTGTTCTCGGCCTGATGCGAGTAGACGTTGGGCTCGCTGTGGCAGATGATGAGTTGTGATTTTGTTCATCGTTTCAATAATAGTATAAGTGTTTTTAATAAAGGAAAGTTCTCCATTCATCTGATCCAGTCCACTAGAAAGAAGAGTGCTTGGCGAGTGATTCTTTGTTGACTTAACGTAAACACCGTACATGGGCCTGAGGTGTGTGAGAAGACTGGTCTAAAGCTGAGGTTTCCCTCTCCCAGGGGGGACTCCTGTCTGAAAGGGTAGATGAAAAATACGATCGCTGTACCTTTGGCAAGCTTACTTGATTTCTTGTTCTTTTGATTTCTAACTTAACATGCTGCTCAAACATATCTAGCCCCTCTAAATTATTAATTCATTTTTAAGGTTGTTCTGGTTAGGTAGACGTTTGTACATGGACTGGGTGAGAGCCCTTTTGACTTAGTGTGAAACTGTAGCATTTTATGCTTTTAAAATCAATAATGACTGTCAGTGACAATCAATTGACTGTCCGTAGCAGGTAGAAAATTATGTGTATTGTATCCATCTTATTCCTTGTACCGTCTGGATGAGGGGGATGCTCCCTTTGGGGCATATTCACCAGCGGGGGCGTCCCTCCAACAGCCAACAGTGCTCAGTGTCAGTTTAAGAACCCAACAGACCTCATCTTCTTAGATGCTTTTGTAACTACATAGTTACATGTTAGAGTCACATTTATAATTTTTCCTGGCCTCATGCAGTTGTTGGATTTTTGCATATAATTCTTTGGCATATATGTTGAAGCATGCTAACCATTCAGGCATGTTGTATCTTCAAGAAATGACTGGGGTGGGGGTGGGAGTGGCCTGGCACAGCAGGAGGGCGTTTGCTCAGCCGCAGGTGCTAACTGAAGCGACTGGAGCAGGGACTGTGGGAGTTTTGTTACTGTTTTCAAGTCTGCCACAGGCAGGGCAGAGCCTGTTGCCTGCTGCTGGCCTGCCCAGGCCCGCCCCAGCCCATTCTCTACAGGATGGTCACTGCCGAGGACACAGTTTGGACAAAGTTGGGTTGATAGGACATTGTAGAAACTCATTTTAGCTGTGATGAGAACTGGCTTTGAATCTGGAGCAGCAGCCGCATGGCTCTCGCTGGCACCTTCTGGGGCTGCTGGACTACACAGAAGCTGCCAAGGTCAGAAGGTGGGTGTGAGCACAGTGATGCTGTGTGAACTGGAGATTTGTGTGTTCTCAACAATTCAGACCTAGCCCTAGGATTTAGGGGCGGCTAGGAAGGTTCTAGTCTTTGTCATCTAGAAGGGTCACTTTAATAAAAGTTATGATGAATTGTAGTGTTTTAGGTGATGAATGACTAAAAATTATTTTAATTCTACTCTAATATTTCACTGTGATATTAACTTGGAAGACCTGTTTGAGATAAGTCTTTTGATTTTAAGCTCATTAAATCCAATGAGCACAGGATTCTTATCATTTGTAAATCCGAAATACCGTGTGAAAGTACTTCTAGTTAATCTATTTCTTCCTTTACAAAAGCGTAATAACTTAAACATGAAAATATGTTCGTATATAGAAATATTTATTGTTCAAGGTCTGTAATTGTATTTCAAAAATGATGTAGTATTCAACTTGTGAAGGGATTTGTTTTGTCAGAAAATTAAAAATTCACTATGTATAACACCATCTGAGGCGTAGGGGACTGCTTTCGAGTCACAGCAATGAGGACCTGCCTGGGATTTGCATAAGTCACCCTAAATGGCTACTTGGTTTCTAGAAGTTGGTTCAAATGTGTTCACTAGGTTACATTATGTTCATTAATATCATCTTGAAAAATCCCTGTAATATATGTGAAGGAGATTGCATTCCCTGCCCATAAAATAATGTATTTCTAAGGCAAACAGGCAATTTGATACTATGAATATTGAGTAGAGAGTAGAGAAAGTATTTTCAGACTCAAGAAAACTTTGACAAGTCAGGAACTAAGCTGCTTGGAAATCAGTGCTGCAAGTGTGGCTTTGGTGGATTCGGGAAGCAACGGGCAAGTTCTTGACAGAGTCTGTGTCCATTCAGTTACTACATTTTTTCTTTTCCAAATGCATCCTATTGGATATGGAATAGACCGTAGATGTCGTAGACTGAGATTTGGGACTGTGTTGGGACCGTACAGGTGAATGTGTCACTTTCACAAACGGCATCTCCGAGTAAGTACCATCACCTGGTGCACATGGAGGTGGAGCCTGCAGCTGGAGTAAGGCGTGCTGGTGTGGCGCCCTGCCTACTTTGCCCTTCTTGCGGGTGGTTTGCCGAGCGGAGAGCCGTTGGATCCCCCCGACTGTGTGCTAGTTGTCTGTTCAGTAGCTGGGAAGGGGTTTGGTGGGATGAAAGTCGGAATCTCCTGCAATCTGTGTCATAGACTGTAATATTGTAAGGTCTGTATTCTGTATGTGTATCTTAGACCCTAATCAGGAAACGAGCCTCATGTGTGTCTTTAACATTTATATTTCCATTCAAAATATGTATTCAGTGTTTATTTCCTCAAAACAGACTTTGTTAATTTAGGAAATATCTCCAAGTGGAATAACTTTTTCTGTAAATCTTAAATAAAAGGTGCTGTTCCTTCCTTTGACCCAGGACTGGTCTGTGTTTTCTGTCTTTCTCTCCATGCATTTTTTTCCTTTTTTTTTTTTTAGCTTTAAAATTTGTTCCAGCCACATTGAAGGAAGAACATGGGTTGCTGGGCAGGACACCGGGCTCTCTCCCCTTGAGCCTGCGATGAAGGCTTTTTCTTTGGGCCTCAGTTCCTCCATCAGACGGTCAGCCTTGGGCAGCCATGTGGGCTACTCTTTGAGTGGGGCCAGGGCCAGGCAGTGTAGCTGCCCTTCCTGATGCCTGGGGCTCCCCCAGCGCCCACTGTAGTCTCCCCTGAGAGTGCTCAGCCCCCATCTGTGACCCCGTATCTGATGGACATGTTAAATTTGAGGTTTAAACTCAGAGCATGTTTTCAGGTTGCCTTCTTTCTGGATGTAAGTGTTCAAGTAGTAGGAGGTGAGCTGATAGGGAGGGGCTGTGGACCCCGGTGGCTCCATCCAGGCAGCCTCACGGTGACAAAGCCTTATAAAGTGAGACCCCTGTAATTTGGTGTTCATTCACGCTATTTCCATCTTCCTGGAAAAGGTGAGGAAATCAGGTTTAAGAGGCCGCTTTCTCTTGAGGCTGCTGTTGTGGGATGTGTCAAACATAGGAGAGTAGTGAGGGCGGAACAATGGGCCCACACACCTGTCACCCCACCACAGACTCCAGTCAGAGCCAACAGATCCCTCAAGAAAAGTCAACGCTCTAACACCAATTTTAAGTGAGCAAAAAACCCCGTGTTTATTGGGTTTTTTCTTCTGCTTCCTGTAATTTCAGTGAGCTAAATCTGGAGAAGGTTCATTGATAAGGCTAAAAATCGGGTGGATTGCCTGGTGGGGTTTGTTTTTGTTTTTGTTTTTAAATGTGGCCCAATTTCAGTTTCTAGCTTTGTGTTCATTGGCAAACAGCAAGCCTGTAACATAATTACTTGTGATTATTGAGGTATACAGGAAATGTAGTTTATACTTTAGCTCTGTTGAAAAATTCAACATTTATTTACCTAACATCAGATAAATACTAAATGTTTTTAGTATTTTTTTAAAAAACATCTGAATTTGATGTATAAGGAAGTTTTCTAAAGATTTATTGATTTCTATTTAAAGACTTATTATTGCTGGTCAAGTGAGGGGAAAATGCTGTGTACAATGATGAGGGAGAGGTTTTAGCCCAGTCTTAATGATCTCTGATGAATGAAGGTGAGACTGATGAAATACAACCTGTGAGTCATTTCATTTGCTCACCGATTCCACATCTTTCTCCCAGGCCTTTTGCTTAGCCTCACGTGTTAACAGTCATCACATTTAACCTCGCCTTCTCCCACCTTACTCTGGTGGGGAAGGTAGTCAATGGGAGGATGAGGAGAACAGGACAGTTAGTTACAGCTGTGATGACAAGTCTGGAAAACGGTTGCCTGACGTTTGGGTGAGCACTCGTATATGCACATGCTGCTGACATCATCCAGTCTCTACCACAGCAGTAGTAAGACGAGCAAGATGAGGTGTGAAGGCTTACATTATGACACTGCACTTTGGTTCTTTAAAAAATTCATTTGGTATTAACATGTTTCTCTTACCTTAAAGTAGTTGGACCTTAACAGATCGAGTAAGAAAGGTCAAGATTCTTGGTCCCAGAGCCTGTCTTAGGTCACCTACTAAAGCAAATTAGGTTTTCATAAGTTACTTCATTTTTAAGGAATATTAAGAGAATGTTAAATCTTATGCCTCCATATATAGACTAAAATATTAAGTAGAATAAAGTCCATTTCTGAATTTCTACACAGCTTATTGACAAGTTGTATTATCACAAAAACCAGTTGATGTACGTTTCCGATAAATAACTGGTAGTACAGGGCGAGTGTTCAGAAGGCATGTGTGTATGTGTGTGAGTGATGAGTCCTGGCGGGGCTGTCTCTGAAGTCATGTGACCACCTGCTGCTCTCTGCGACTAGTGAACTGTCGTCCACCTCCTTCATCTCTAGGTATCAGATGGCCTGGGAGACGAGCCCTTGGAGTCTCCGTATGAAAGTGCAGACGAAACGCAGACTGAAGTGTCCGTCTCCTCTAAAAAGTCTGAAAGAGGAATAACTGCCAAGAAGGAGTATGTGTGTCAGGTGAGGGATACATGGGTCAAGGGAGGAGTATGTGTGTCAAGTGAGGGGAGGAGCGGTTTGATTCATCCCTTATAGCACCCACCTGGGTCCCAGTAGATGGGAGTGAGTCTTGTTGCATCTTCTCTTACCTGCAGACCCCCTCTGCCCTAACCCCATCATCAGTCACTGATATTTGTTTTGAGGGTGTTAGGCTGCCAGCTGTATCCTGGGGTTAAGTGCCCCAGTTAGCATCATCCATTCATGTGTAAGATATGTCTCATATATAAATTGTATATTACATACACACAGATGTGTGTATATACTTTTTGAAGTGTATAAAAACGGTGTGTGGGGCCGGCCCCGTGGCTTAGCGGTTAAGTGCGTGCGCTCCGCTGCCGGCGGCCCGGGTTCGGATCCCGGGTGCGCACCGAGGCACCACTCCTCCAGCCATGCTGAGGCCGCGTCCCACATACAGCAACTAGAAGGATGTGCAACTATGACAGACAACTATGTACTGGGGCTTTGGGGGAAAAATAAATAAAAAAAAAAAACGGTGTGTGGTTGGAAGAGGCCAGGTGCTACAAAGATATTTCACTGCTGGCACGCATACCAGGTGGGCAGGCTGGGCCCACTGGGTCAGTGTCCTCTGCTGCAGTGACCTAGGGCAGGTCACTTAGCCTCTCTGTGCCCCGGCCCCTCTGTGAGATGGAGATGAACTCAGCTGCCAGAGGCTGTGAGGAAAGCCCCTCCATCAATACGTGAGAAATGCTGGTCAGCTTGGTACTTCTCAGCTGCATTGGGTTGAGTTTGATTTCTGATGAAAATGTGCATGAGTTTTCTTGATTTTCAAATCTGATTTTAAACTTCTTGAGTATGTCCTTTAGGTTTTTGATCCTGTTTGTTTCCTTTGCTGTTGCTGAGGGATCTCTTTCTGTATTTTGTCGCCTGGTTTTATTCTGATACCGGATGTGTTGTGGGTTCTGCTCAGGCCAGCGTCTCACATGCATGTGTAACTCTTCCTTTGAGTAGCACATGGGTACAGAGGGGCTGCGCTGGGTGTTGCTTCACTGCTGTCCCCTCTCCGCCCACAGCTGTGTGAGAAGACTGGCAGCCTTGTGCTCTGCGAAGGCCCCTGCTGCGGAGCTTTCCACCTCGCTTGCCTTGGGCTTTCCCGGAGACCAGAAGGGAGGTTCACCTGCAGCGAGTGTGCTTCAGGCAAGTTCTGTTGTAGCTTTTAAATCACGCGAGGGCTTGTTCCCAAGGGCACATAGTTCTGTGACGTCCCTTCCAGCCTCGGAGTCTCCCTCCTAGGCTCCCTTCACAAAGTGCTCTGGTCCGCCAGATGCGTCCTGATGTTTTTATTTCCTTTGGAGACCTGACACCAGCAGAGAACGAGTCCCTGCCCATCCCTTCACTGCCTGTCTCTGTGCTTAACCTCCCACAGGTGCTTGCAGCCCTGCCCTGGCAGATGTGTCCACTCCTTGTTGGCTTCCACAGTTTGCTCTCTGATTTCAATTTTATGTGCTCCCCTTGGTACCTTCCGTCAGGTGTTCAGTGTTACCACTTTAATGAAGGAGTGTCATTCAGAATTTAGTTTCGCATAAGAGGATGGCAGAGTATGGGATCGTAGGCCGCAGGTTCTGCCATGCCCCTTCCCGTAGGCGATGTGAGCCTTGCTCTGTCTGTGGGGTGGCCATCGTGGGGTGGCCATCATGGGGTGCCCTGGCACCAGAGGGTCTGGCATTACTAGTACAGGTAACCTAGTCAGTCACAGAACCCCAAAGTTCACAGAAATGTGGAGTCTTTACGGAGATGCAGTGTGAATCTGAGCTTCAGTGTCAGCAGAAAGAACGGCTCTGTGCTTGTCCCTGAGTGATTATTGCTTCGGGTAATAGTAAAGATAGTAAAGATTGCATCGGGTTTCACCAGACCAGTCTGGGGGGTGATGGGAAGACAGGCTGCACAGCTGTGGTCTCTGTCCAACTCCTGTCCACTGGCCAGACCTGAGGGTCTCCTGACTCTCCTCGGGACATGTCTTGGGTCAGGAAGACACCTGGAGTTTTCTGGGGAATTCCCCTGAGGCAAGCCCATTCCACACACCACCACCTCACTTCTGGGGGCACCTGTGTACCTATCATTGTAAGTGATTCTTCATTGTAGATGGTTAACTGGTCTCAAGAGAGAGTAAAAGCCTTTCTTCATAGGAGTCCATTCCTTCAAGCTTTGTAAGTTAATTTGAGTGGGCATCCCCACTTAGGCTGCCTAGTCAGACTTTCCCATCTTCCGGGCAAAGCAGGAGCTCACATAGCAACCAGGTAACCCTTGATGGCTAGATTTTTTTCTGAAGTTTGCTTGGACTAGTCAGCAAGGTTGGAAATAGAGCCAGATGCTTTAGCAACGTGGGCTGCCTCCCACAAAGAGGTGCTTGATCCCAGTGGCCTAGGAACTACAATTTACTTCTTGTTCTTTGCATTTCTCTCTCCGCCCATCTTTCACTGTTTGTTAGGGATTCACTCGTGTTTCGTGTGTAAGGAGAACAAGACAGACGTTAAGCGCTGTGTGGTATCTCAATGTGGAAAATTTTACCATGAAGCTTGTGTGAAAAAATACCCTCTGACTGTGTTTGAAAGTCGAGGCTTTCGCTGCCCTCTCCACAGCTGTGTGAGCTGCCATGCTTCGAACCCTTCAAACCCAAGACCGTCAAAAGGTACTGACATGCCTTTAGAGCTTCAGGTCATGTAGGTGCATGGAAGGCGGGCATGGGGCCTGTTGGGCTTGTCACCAGTTTTTATTTGGAGTAACAGTTGTTTTTCTGTTACTGACTCGACACAGGTTGGGTTAGGGTTTTTCTTGACGAAGGACCTGCCCCCCATTCTCCCTTCTTCCTGCCCTAAATGTTATTTTAAAGATTATTAATTTTAGGAGGGAGGACCTTTGAACCATTTTGATAGACTCTATTTGTTCTGGTTTTAATGGTCCTTCATATATGAGAAAAATATTTTAAAATCAAATCATATCTACATTATTTCATGTTAGGTGTGTGGGATTGAGGATGGCAGGTTATCTCTACCGCTTGACACAAGTGGTTCTCAACTAGGGGCGAGTTTGCCCTCCAGGGGACATTTGGCCATGTCTCGGGATATTTTGGGGGTATCTACTGGCATCTAGTGGGTAGAGGCCAGGGATGCTGCTAAACATCCTCCAGTGCATAGGGTGGTCCCCCATCCTCATGCCGCGGTGTCCATGCTGAGCAGCCCTAGTTGACCTTATTTAAGAACGTGGCATTTTAAATGCTTGACCGTTTTCTCAGATGTTGTTTTGAAGCAGCTTTGCCTTGAGGAAACATGTTTTCATGATGTCTATTAAATATTCTTAGCTTCCCCACCCTAGTTCTTTTCTTTGTCAAATACATCAAGTTTATATCAGCATTAGCTTTCTAAAATTCATGGAGACGTGGTTGTTTCTAGTTGCACTGTTCACCGTGTTGGTGTCTCCAGCATGTGCCTGTTTGCCTTCAGGTAAAATGATGCGCTGTGTCCGCTGCCCTGTTGCCTATCATGGAGGGGACGCTTGTCTGGCAGCCGGCTGCTCGGTGATTGCTTCCAACAGCATAATCTGCACGGGCCACTTCACTGCTCGGAAGGGGAAAAGGCATCACGCCCACGTCAATGTGAGCTGGTGCTTTGTGTGCTCCAAAGGTGAGGGCTGGGACCAGCAAGTCTGTGAGCAGACTGTTGCTGCCTGGTGTTCGAAATTGTCATTCCATTGGATTGTTTGAATGGTTAGAGAGTGCTGCTTCTCATGGCTTCTTCACACACACAGCTCTTCTGGACAGTCCCAGGAGCCACACATGGGGGCGAGCTTCCTTGCTTATCCAGCTGTGTGTATTGACATTCATAATCTTTCCCGTGTTTTCCCATGTAGTAGTAGTATACCATGATATTTCCAAATTAACTGTCATAATTTCAGACTTATGGGAAATTATTCATGATGAAAATATAAAATTTGCTTTTGTGTTTACATACATATTACTGTATTTAAACTAATGGCTAAGACTTAGATGTGTAATATCTGTAGAATGTGAAGAGAAAAATCTGGGCCGAACCTATGAGACAAGGCTAAGCTGGCCCACCCTCCTTTGCAGGGGGAAGCCTTCTGTGCTGCGAGTCCTGCCCAGCAGCCTTCCACCCCGACTGCCTGAACATCGAGATGCCCGATGGCAGCTGGTTCTGCAATGACTGCAGGGCCGGCAAGAAGCTCCACTTCCAAGATATTATTTGGGTTAAACTTGGGAACTACAGGTGTGAGAAATAGAATCCTCTGCTTTTATGTCTTTCCTTGTTCAAATGTGTTCTTTTTATTTTACAGTGCTTAAAGTGTTGAAATTATTGTCACTCTCTCTGAAGAGTCTGTGAATCCTGTTTTTAATATTTATAATAGATGGTGGCCGGCAGAAGTTTGCCATCCCAAAAATGTTCCCCCAAATATTCAGAAAATGAAGCACGAGATTGGAGAATTCCCTGTGTTTTTCTTTGGGTCTAAAGATTATTACTGGACGCATCAGGCGCGAGTGTTCCCGTACATGGAGGGGGACCGGGGCAGCCGCTACCAGGGGGTCAGAGGGATCGGAAGAGTCTTCAAAAACGGTATGGAGATTTCCAGGGAATGAATCAGTGATCTCGGGTGCCTTTTCCTAATCCTGATTTCTGCTTTTTGAAAGTTTGATTTCTGTAGAAAACACTGGACTAAGCATTCTAGCTGTACTTTAAATTAGAAAAAAGTGGGTTTGCAAACTGATTTGTTGAGGCACAGGATAAGATATACTGTTTAAGAACTTTTATAACATTGGCTTTTATAACATTGGTTTGTGATTAATTTCACTAAAATGCATTAAAGCTATTTTTGAGAAATTATTTTAGTACTAATTTACAGGAATTTCTTATAACTTGCCTTTATGTAAGATGGAAATGTGGAGGAACTTTCCTGCTGTCTAGACCTTGTGCACTGGCTCACAGTGGCTCACTACCCATTAGCAGACACCGGGCATCAGGTACCTCACAAGGTGCCAGGTGTGGGCAGGTAGACAGGATGCCCTGCCCCCGAATCCACAGCTGGGGTGGGAGACAGAGAGGAACAACCGTGCGGTGTCGTTCAGGTGACGAGATGGGATGGGAATTCAGCCACTTGACTGGAGGAAGTGGTATTTACATTGGGCTGAGAGTGAGTGAGGACCACAGGGAAAACTCGCAGTGTGTGCACATACATGCCTAGTTCAGAGAGAGCAAGAACGTGTCATGACTGATGGCACCCAGGAGGCTCGATGAGCTGTAAAGAGCTCACAGGCTGCACTGAGCAGTAGAGCCTTCTCCTCTCCTCTGGATCCTCAGCACACGGTAGGCATTCAAAGGTCTGAATGAGAATGGAGAGACATCAAAAGATTTTCAAAAATTGTATTAAAAGAGAGATGTTGAAATTGAGAGGGAGCTGAATGTGTTCTGTGTTAGAGTCAGCTGGTAAGTGGTAAAGTCAAGATATCACCGTCTCCTGACTCTTCATGCAGGAGTCCTATGGAACTAGACCCAGTAAGTGACCTGACTGGTGACTACCCGACACAAGGCAGGCCTCTCACACACCCAGGGTTGACGTGGGGCTGTCTTCCCTGGGCACATCTCAGTAGCTTATGTTTCCTCTGTTCTTGCTTCAGCCTGTTGCTCACTCCTCAGAGCTGTTTTCTCTTTGAGAGGAACAATATTGCATTTTTGTTTTCTATCTTCCAACAGTGAGTCCTGAGTATTGATACCTGGTACTTTGTCATTAGATCACAGAAGAGGGTGGGGAGCAATAGCAATCTTCCGCCCAACAGAAACCTGCCCCTGGGAGTCCTTCCTTGTAGTGAGGTGGCACAAAGCACTCAGGGCCTGCCTTGTGTCGGGGTTCTTTAGCCAGTGGCATCCTCCGAGCATTCTTCTGCTTAAAACATTTTGTAGCATTTAAAAACACCTGCCCTTGGGCCGGCCCTGTGGCTTGGTGGTTAAGTGCGCGCGCTGCGATGCTGGCGGCCCGGGTTCGGATCCCGGGTGCGCATCGAGGCACCACTTCTCTGTCCATCCTGAGGCTGAGTCCCACATACAGCAACTAGAAGGGTGTGCAGCTATGACATACAACTATCTACTGGGGCTTTGGGGGCAAAAAGTAAAATTAAAAAAAATAATAATAAAAAAAAAATAAAAACACCTGCCCTATTACATTTTTCCATAACCTCTAGTTTTATGGAAACTAGGAACTACACTTAGCAGTGAAATGAAAGTTTAGAATAAACTGTTAAAATACAGAGCTTAAAGGGTAGGTGTATTTATGTACTGAAATCTTTTACTCATATGTCATTGACTTTTTAGCGCTACAAGAAGCTGAAGCTCGTTTTCGTGAAATCAAACTTCAGAGGGAAGCCAGAGAGACACAGGAGAATGAGCGCAAGCCCCCGCCGTACAAGCACATCAAGGTGACGTCAGAGGAGCAGGGTCTGGGAGGCCGCTCAGATGGCCATGTCTGTGCGTGTGCAGATTGTGTAATCACTGAGGGGACTGTGAGTGGTTCTCAGGCATGCAGATTCTTCATCCCCAGGCTGCAGCCGGTGAGAGGGTCGTCGTGAGCAAGGCTCTGTAGCCCCAGTGTGGACAGCTGCACCAGAAGTCCTCGGCAGACAGCAGATGCTGTTGCCACCAAGCGTGTGTCCTTTTACACAAGGGTGACTGGGTGCAGGGCAGGTGGTTTCTGCATGGGAGGTCTCAGTTTTGTCTTAGAGTATGAGGCTCAGCCTGATAGCCAGCATGGGGCTGGAATGACAGGGGGTGTAGGCTGCCTAGAGCAGGAGGGGCTGAGGGATGAGCTGATCTCCTGGACCATGCTGTCACCAAGCACTGGAGACAAGGTCCGATGAGAGGTGGTCAGCCTGGGCCAGTGCTCAGCTGAAGCGTGGCTTGTTTGGCTGGAGCCCCTGAGACAACACCTCAGAGGGTGTGGAGAGCAAGGAAGGCCTGGAGGTGTTCCTGAATATAGCCCCTGTGTTTACTCCATTGAGCCCAGGAGCCCCAGCAGGAAGCCTGTGTCCACACGTCTCCACAGTGTGGGAGGAAGTGTAGACAGGGCACAGCTCTGAGCGAGAGCAGTGCCTCCTCACAGCTGTCTGCACTCGGTGAGCCGGTGCCACCTGTATCCCATTGCCCAGGGCCTGGCAGCCTCCCAACACACGTGTGCTGGCTGTCTGCTAGCTGTCAAGGGCTCCCTCTTGCTCCTAAAATCTGGGCTGTAAACAATATCTTTGTGTGTAAAGGAAGCATTCTCTGTACTAATCTGTATTTAGAATTCTCTTTGGGATAAGTTCCCAGAATTGGAATACTGGGTCAAAGAGTGTGAAACTTTTAGATTGTTGAGGCGTATTTCCAGATTGTTCTCCAAAGTGTTGCATAGTTTGTCGCACCCCAGCAGTGAAAAGGGCATCTTTCACCACATTTTCCCTAGAATTATTCTTTTCTGCTTCAATCTATTTTCAATTCCCTCTGCTGCTTCATTGTTTGGCTGCTCTTGTTCCACTGTTAATAAACCGTGTGTTCACAAGGGCAGAGACTGTGCCCTAGTGCTCACCACCACCTCCCTGGGTGCTTCTGGGGGTGCTCGGTAAGCAGGGGTCCAACCAGTGCCTGGGGTGCTGAGAAGAGAGCAGGTCTCGTCAGGCCTTTACCAGGCGCCCTGCGTCATGCTGAGCAGTCGCATGTGTCTCTCTCTTACTATGACAACAGCCTGGCTGCATAAATGTCAGCTCTCTTTCATAAACGAGGAACACGAATGCTAAATTAGAAGAACGGGGTGTTGGGATGGGGGGCTGCACTCCAGCCCACCTTCTAAAGCTCCCAGGTCAGAGATTGGCCTGTCTGCCACCTGTGCTATGAGGAGCTTCAGCTGAGATCTGGGCAAGAGGCCATTGTGATGAGTGTGTAGGCTGCAGGACCTCCCTGCATGTCCCTGCTGGGTTCTGAAGCTTCAAGACCACCAGGAGGCTAGGTAGGGCGTGGCAGGAGTGATGTGCAGGGGAATCAGGAAGCTCTCTGTTTGATGTGTGGGCTAAGGCAGCTTACTTTTCCCCTGTAGGTGAATAAGCCTTATGGGAAAGTCCAGATCTATACAGCTGATATTTCCGAAATCCCGAAGTGCAACTGTAAGCCCACAGATGAGAATCCCTGTGGCTTTGATTCGGAGTGTTTGAACAGGATGCTGATGTTTGAGTGCCACCCGCAGGTGTGTCCTGCAGGAGAGTACTGCCAGAACCAGTGTTTCACCAAGCGCCAGTACCCTGAAACCAAGATCATCAAGACAGACGGCAAAGGATGGGGCCTGGTCGCCAAGAGGGACATTAGAAAGGTGTGTGCCATGCCCCCTTCTCCCCTACTTTTAAGAAATGATGGTTCAGCTGGTTACTTAGACTTAGATGTTTTGTGCTTTTGTACTCATGTAAGAATGATAGTTAAAAATTTTTTTTGAGTTATTACAATTGAATATTGTAAAATGTTACATGAAAGATATCTATCAAAGTAAAATTCATCAATTCCCTTAAAACATGCCTTAGTCAGAATTTTGGTGGTTGCTTTTATGAAGTGAAAGATCTGTGAAGTAACCACTTTCCTTAGAGGATCAGCCAGGATGCTCAGGAGGGGTCAGCGAGCAGATGTGAAGAGACAGCTCTTTTGTTAGGGGCAGACCTGGGACAGTGCAGGACGAAGTCATTGGTAAATGCCAGAGACCACGCACAGCCTGTCTCCATTCTCAGACTGAATTACCATGCGCATCCAGTATGTAAAGAGACAAATGGAATTGCTTATCTTGTTGCAGCCCTGCCGTGCTTGGGCATGGCCTAGGGGTGGGCGGCCTCAGACCCTAGGTCTGTTCTAGGGCTGATCCCCAGCAGCAGCGAAAAAGCCTGCTTTGAAACATGCAAAACCTCTGCAGCTTCATTCCTCCGCCTGCCTTGATTGCTGATTCATGCAGATTCTTGCGGTGTAGCCTGTCAAATTCTTTCTAATCCTTTTCTCTACTAGGGAAATAGACCTGTAAGGGGAGTGATGTGGGAGCTTGGAGGGTGTCATTCTAGTGGCCCCAGAGACAAGATATTGTAGGAAGCAAGGGTTATAATGTTGTTACTTAGAAGACTATTTGGATAAGTTCTTCACTGACAACCTTCATAAAATATGTAGAAAGTCATTTGAATTTACTTTACCATATAGAGACTTTGCAAGACCTTGCCCCTCATGGTATTACGATGTGCGTGGTGCCCTGCTCTGGTTGCTCCTGGTGTGGGCTCTCGAGCTCTGGTACTGAGAATTGGCCAGTCTGTTCTTTATCGTCATAACATTCTTCTGATTTCCAGGGAGAATTTGTCAATGAGTATGTTGGTGAGCTGATTGACGAAGAGGAGTGTATGGCAAGAATCAAGTACGCACATGAGAACGACATCACTCACTTTTACATGCTCACTATAGACAAGGTAATGCTAAATGTATCTTCATTGCTAATTTTTGCAGTGTTCTGAACATGGTACCCTGATGGTTCACCTGTAGCATGGGGCCTTGGATTGCGGTGATATTGTCATTTCATCTATGGGTTGCTTTGTGTCAAACATCTGCATGTTTTCTTCTGAAGTGCACAGTGTCTTCTGGCAGTTGTCTGAAGGCCAGAGCTGATAGCCTCTCACTGTGAGAGCATCCTGGGAGCTTCATGGGTCCCACTGATGCATGAAGGATGTACTAAACAGTCTTACTAAGAGTCAAGGAAAAGAAGAGAAAAGCACAAATTAGGAGAGTTACACATCTTTTCAGTTACATAGTGGAGTCTTTTTGGTTGTTCATTGCTTGTCTGAAGCCCAGATTTGTAGACAGTTTGGAACATAAGTCTGCTAGAGGGGATCACTGTTCTCAGAAGAAGGATAGGTAAGACAGTTTGTTTACGACTTGGGATGGGTAAAAGAAGGTGTATCTGGGACACTGTCAGGTCTGTGACTGACGCCTGACAATAACAGGCCCTTTCTGGGGGGGTTCCCTAGTGACCACAAGCACCCCAGGAGGTAGCACGTTTACATTTCCCTTTGCCGTCCCCTTCCGTTTTTTGGGGGGCTGGTGAGGGAGGTTGTTTTATTATAAATTGAAACCCTAGCTCTGTGCCTTACTATGTTTTGGAGTTTAAACTACTTGTGTGTTGTAAAAAATGCCAAGTTGATCATTTAACACACAAATTGGTTCCTGAAATGGTAATTCACCTAGGGCGCACCTGGCTGAAACAAAGAAAGCCCATGACACATGAGAGACACTTAAAACATGTATTTCCTATAAAAACAAAACAAAAATAAAAGAATAAGCTCTACCTAAATGTTTACAGAGCACAATAGAACAAGATCTCCATAAGCAGACCCTTCACATAGAAGGCTTAGCTTTTGGTGAGAACTTGAGATAAGAAGACTGAGTCTGAAAGAAAATATTAAGTAAGTGTGTTAGAAATGGTTAAAACCATAAAAGGAGATTTAGAGATCACAAGAAAAGAACAAGACATTGAGGGGTAAATCAGGCAGATTTGAACAAACAATTAAAACTGAGAGTTAAGATATAGTCATTGAAATTAACCCAGTAGATGGGTTAAGAAATATCAGACAGCTAAGAGAAAATTGCTGAAGTAGAAGACTGCATCAAAGAAATTATCTAAATTGCAGCACAGAAAGATAAAAAGATGAAAACTCTGTAAAAGAGGTTAAGAGACATGGAAGATAGAAATGTTTAATAGATGTTCCAGAAGGAAAAACAGGAGAACTGGGGAAGAGGTAATGTAAGAAAAGAATTTTCTCTAATCTTTGTGATATATATCATCTAACTGATAAAACTAAGTTTTGCGCAGGATAAATAAAAATAAATCTATACCTAGATGTGTTCTTAAAAAAAAAAAAACAACTTTAGGATACCAAAGACTACGAAGATTAAAAGCAATGGAGAGAGAGAGAGAAGAGTACATTCAGGGAACAGCAATTAGATGGTCAGACTTCTCAAAGTGTGGTAGAAGCCAGAAGACGCTTCTGTTTCCTTAGGGAAGATAACCCTTGACCTTGCATTCAGTGCTAGCACTTCAGATAAAGAGTGAGAGAGCTGACCATCACCATAATTTGGCCGAAGGAAATAATAAAAGGTACTTCAGGAAGATGAAAAGTGAATTTCAGAAGTTAAATGTGAGGTGTAAAAAGGAGTGGTGAACAAACAGGTTCACAGACATGTGGGTCTGTGTAAATAAGTTTGGTTGTGTAACATAATGAATGATGAGTGGCAGGAGGAGAGAGTATGGCAGTAAGGGGGCATTAAATGCTGACCATCACAGAGGGTATCAGAAGTGGTGGGGTGAAGCCAGCGTGAGCTGCTTGTTTTGTGTGGATGGAGGGGAGAGAGTGTATTAACTTTATATTTTGTCAAGTATACATGTTAAAACTACACAGGAAATTCCTAAATGAGTAGAAATGGAAGTTGTAACTTCCCCATCATTAAAGAGTGAAAAAAGGCACAGCAACTAGAATGATGTGCAACTATGACATACCACTATCTACTGGGGCTTTGGGGAAAAAAAAGGAGGAGGATTGGCAATAGATGTTAGCTCAGGGTCGGTCTTCCTCAGCAACAACAACAACAAAAGGATTAGTATGGATGTTAGCTCAGGGCTGATCTTCCTCACAAAAAAAAAAGTAAAAAAAGGCAAAGAAGAGTAAGTCAATCCAGTAGAAAGTGAGGTAGGAGGGAGGAAAAAAGAACAAGAGATTGTAATTAAAAAGCACAAGATGAGATATAAAAAATACAAATCTGTCAATAATCACAATAAATGTAAGTGGCTTAATTTATAAGACTAAGATTCAGATTGGCTAAAATATAGGAATTCAACTTGAAGCTCTGTGACTTATGTAATAAAAATGAACAAGAAAGGTTGTAAGAAAGAGTATTAAAAAATAGTTAGTAAATCCTAATCCAAAGAAGGATGCTATTGGCTACATTAATATCAGATGAGATGGTCTTTAAAGAAAACATCTCTGAAAGGCTGAAGAGGGTCACTATGTAATGTAAAAATGAAAAGCTCCCCAGGCCACTCCATGGCAGGGGAAGACCTTGGTAGGGTTCTGACTCACCTCCTTACTAGTTACAGTTGTGGGGATGGAGGAGACAGCACTGAGAAAATGAACTAAATGTATATCTGATAGCTTGCAAAGATCTTAAAAGTAGTTCACTGAAAAAATATATGAGAGGGCCGGCCCCGTGGCTTACCGGTTAAGCGCGCGCGCTCTGCTACTGGCGGCCCGGGTTCGGATCCCGGGCGCGCACTGACGCACCGCTTCTCCGGCCATGCTGAGGCCACATCCCACATACAGCAACTAGAAGGATGTGCAACTATGACATACAACTATCTACTGGGGCTTTGGGGGAAAAAATAAATAAATAAAAATTATAAAAAAAAATATATGAGAGAGAAAACGAGATCCATAGTACAGTAATGCTTAATCTATAAAAATTAAAATTAAAAATCTAAATATAAGATTCTGGTAGAAGATCGTGGCTGCTCACTTCCAAAGCAACAACAACAAAAAAGTACACAAAGTACATCTTCATTGAAACTGCGAGACAGACAGACCTGTCAACCTGAAAAGACCTCTACAAGCAGATCAAAGAACCTGTCTGAGAGCAGGGAATGCAGAGGGGCACTGTGGGGCAGAGCTTGGCAGCTCTCAGGCCAGCACCACACCCTGAGTGGTGCCTGCTTCCAGGAGAACTAAGAGTTTCAAAAGGGGGCAGTGGAGAAAGAAGGTGTGTGTGTGGGGGGTCCTGGGAAGCTGCAGTCACAGATCTTGGAAAGGATCATCTTCCAAAAGTAAGGCAGCATTCTGGGAGGCAGAGAGAAGGGACCTGAGGCTCTGAGAGCCCACAGAGCTGTGGGCCTTATTGTGAGAAGACCTCCATCAGGCTGACAGCAGAGAAGGGTTCCCTGAGGAAACCTGGAAAACCACCTAGCCCACCCTCCTAGAATCCAGCTAATAACTGCTCCAAGAACTCCAATGCATTCTGAGAAGGATGATGAAAAGGTTATATAAGAAAACCCTGAAAAAAGAACAGCAGAACTACACTGTAGATGGAGAAAAGCCACTGGAAAAATACTGCCAAAAAGCACGTGAACATTATACCCCAACATTCAACATGAATTTTTAAAATGTGAGGAATTAGAGATAGCCAGACAGCAAGGAGAGCTGAATTGTGAACTCACAGAACTCAGGAATGAAATAAAAGGAAAAGAGAAAACCATTTCCAAAGCAAAGCTTAAACCACAAGGAGCAAATAAGAGAGTAGAAAGTGGACACAGGATAGAAATGAAGACTGAACAAAATGCAGCAGAAAGAAAGAAAGAACAAAGAAAGACTAGAGGGAAAAGTGTAACACAGGGAGCAGGCCAAGGAAAGTCTCTCTGCATGAGTATAAGCCAGAGACATACCAGACAGCAGGTAGGAGAGATGTTCCACCTGCAGTTCTAGAAAATGCAAGGGAGATTAAAGAAGACTCGAGTCTAGGTATTGAAAGAATACACTATATTTTAGGGGAAATCCATCCAGAATGGTAATAAATATCTTACTAAAATTACTGGACATAAAGAATCCTTTGGCTAGCCAGACCAAAAAATCAAATTGCTTAGAAGGGGAAGAAAGTGAGGCTCTCACAGCAGAATCCAAAGCCTGAGGACAGAGGAATAGCACCAACACAATTTTCAAGAAAAGAGTGAACCAAAGATTTTATATTCAGCTGAGTGGTTCTTTAGGTATACTGGCTACAGAGTAACAGGTTTGAACATAAGAGAAGTAAAAGAAAATTGCTAAAGGATGAATTTCAGATAGCCAGTGTAAGTCCTCTGAAGCTCCAGTACAAAGTAACAGACAAGGAGGAGGATGACAGAAGGAAATATGTACTCACATTGTTATTCCTAACAGAAACAAGAATGTGGAGAGAACAAAGAGTAGTAGCTATCTAAGAGTCGGAGCTGATAAACCCAAGTAATAGTTGAAGCATATTTAAGAGTAGAGGTAAGGGCCGGCTCCGTGGCTTGGCGGTTAAGTGCGCGCGCTCTGATGCTGGCGGCCCGGGTTCGGATCCCGGGCGCGCCCCGAGGCACCACATCTCCGTCCAACCCGAGGCCGGGTCCCGCGTACAGCAACTGGAAGGATGTGAACCTACGACATGCGGCTGTCTGCTGGGGCTTTGGGGGGAAAAAATGAATAAATAAAATCTTTAAAAAAAAAAAAAAAAAAAAAGAGTAGAGGTAAGCGTTAAGATAATTAAGCCACTGACTAAACTGGGGTTGTAAGGGTGGGAGTGGTGAGGGGAGGAGGAATCGGCTAATTTGATTCTTGGCCAGAATAGTGGGTCAGTGGACACTACTTAAAGAGGAGATTAAGGATGTTACATACAGGTGTAAATGCTAGGGTATTCTATAAATAACAACCAGTAGGAAAAAAATCACAAAGTTCCCAACATAACAGGAAAATCAAAATTTAAAAAACTCTACTACTGCATAGTGAAAGGCTTAAAATCCATATAAACGAATAAAATAGACTGATATGTTAGAATTGTGCCCAACATATCAGTCATATTTGTAGAAAGGAATTGGATTAACTCATCTATTAAAAGAAGAGATTTCCTGGGGCCAGCCCATTGGCATAGTGGTTGGGCTTGTGCACTCCACTTCAGCGGCCCAGGGTTCACAGGTTCAGATCCCACATGTGGACCTACACCACTCATTGAGCCGTGCTGTGGCAGCGACCCACATACAAGATAGAGGAAGACTGGCACAGATGTTAGCTCAGGGCCACTCTTCCTCACCAAAAAAAAAGAGATTTCCAGATTGGTTCATAAAGCAAAGCCTAATCCTCTGTTGTATGTAAGGAACAAAGAGATTCTGAAAGGTTAAAAATAAGATTGTGTGCAGGGGTATGCCAGGTGAAGTTAAATTTTTTAAAAAATTTAGTTGTTTTCAGCCAAGGTAGAATTCAGGCCCCATCACATTCAGTGATACAAAGGAAGGGGTTTATAATGCTAAAGCCACTACAGGGATGAAATCCGTTGTGCAGAGTGTGCCCCAGATAACACCGCAGCAGCTTTCCCAAAGCAGCACTTACGGGAGGTGCAGGAGAGAGACAGATGAGGAAAGTCTACTGTGAATTACTTCTCTTAGTTAGAGGTGGAGATCCTGGACAGACAATTAGTATGAGACTAACAAGGAGCCAAAAAATTAACAAGGAAAGAATTAAAGACAAAGCAGAAATTTAGAAGTTAGAGAACAGAAACAATAGGAAGTAATAAGTAAATCACTTTTTACAAACATGCAAAAAAGGGAGCCATATATTTTTCAAAGACACACACATATTCAAGGGTAAATCCCAGGCCCAGTGGAGTAGACTTGGGTGTGAATGTGACAGGGATTAAGGGAGTGGGGGTTGAGGCCCAAGATTCTGTACCCTCCGCTGTGGGTGTACCTGAGGAGCACCAACAGAAGTTCTTGTGACCAAGTGGAGTTCATCCCAGGAATGCAAGGATGGTTTAACACCCCAGTAATTAGTTAAAGGAGGAAAACTGAAAGATCATTTGAGAAAATTGGAAACTATTTCTGATGAAAATTCCTCAGTAAATTAGGAATAGAGGGAAATTTCCTTAGTTTGATAAAGGCTGTCAAAACTCGCCACCAGCGTCGTGCTTAAGATGAAACAAGCATTCGTGCTAGATTCAGAAACGAGACAGGACACTCTTGCTGCTGTTCCTCCAGATCCTGGAGGTGCTGGATGGACAATGAGGAGAAGAGGAGCAGAGAAGAGGCACCCGAGAGACAGCTAAGTGTTGAGTTCCAACAACACAGGGAAGTCAAGTGCACAGGTTTCCTCTCTGCCCACCTCCCACATACACAAAACCACAAAAACAGTGAAAATGCATATGCATAAATGGAGCAAGTTTTTGTGGAAAAAAATTTTGACAGTTTTACTTCAGCACATAGAAGATGATGTGAATGAAGGATGACACATACCATGTTTCTGGGGGAGAGATGAAATGATGTAAAGACGTAAATCTTCCCAAATGTAAGTTCACTGTAATCTCAAAAATATTAACAATTTTAAATAAACCTTGACAGGCAATTCCAAAGCCCATATAGAATGATAAATCCGAACGATGAGCCAGTTCTGTACCTTAAATGACTGTGAAGGGTGGGCATGTTCTGGGAGGTGTTAGGGCACTCTCTGTGGCATTGCTGTGAAAACTGTGGCCCAAGCCCAGTGGCACATGACAGATGACAGCATTGGGCAGGGGTGGATGCCAGGACCAAATGTCTGCTGATGGCGCCTGCGTGCCTAGGGTGGTGGTAAAGGCCCTCCTTCATGGTAAGCACTGATGTTTCCCCCTCTCTGCACTTACAAAAACAGATTCCAGATGGATTAAAGAGCTAGGGAAATATGAGAGATAGCTTTTATAATTTAGGGGTAGGGAAGGCTGTGTTAAGCTAAAACCCCGAATGCATATAACTAAAGATTGATAAAATAGTTGCATAAAACTGAGAAAGCTCTGAGTGAGGAAAGGTATTATAAAGTTAAAATTCAGTTATCTTTTTTTGTGTGTGTGAGGAAGATCAGCCCTGAGCTAACATCTATTGCCAGTCCTCCTCCCTTTTTTTCCCTTTCTCTCGCCACAGCCCCAGTAGATAGTTGTATGTCATAGCTGCAGATCCTTCTAGTTGCTGTATGTGGGACACTGCCTCAGCATGGCCGGACAAGCAGTGTGTCGGTGCGCGCCTGGGATCTGAACCCGGGCCGTGAGTAGTGGAGCGCACGCACTTAACCGCTAAGCCACGGGGGCGGCCCCCAGTTGTTATCTTATGAGAAGGTTTTTGACACCTAGTTAACAATGGTCTAGTTTTCAGAATATATGTATAGAATATCTGCAAATCAATAAGAAAAAGATAAATAAAACAGAGCAAAGACATAATGGGCCATGCCTAGATGAAAAAATACACATGCCTAGCACAAAGGAAAGGATGCTGTGCCTCACTGGTTATCTGGGAAGTGCAAGTTAAAATACTTTGGGCCTGTCGGGATATTGAAGGTGTTGAGGGCCGGTGCTGTACTCACTCCAGGGTGTGTTCTAGAGAAGTATTTGTGCCAGCAAGTGTACATGAAGGTATTGATTGCAGCACTGTCACAGTAACAAAGGGAAACACCTCAAAAATTCATCCATAGAGTCACAGATGAGCATCGCTATGTCTGTGTTAAGAAATATCATGCAGCTATTAAGAGCTACAAAGTTAGATTGTTACAACACTTAGTATAGGGAAAAAAAGCATATTGCAGAGCAAGCACATTCTGAGACCATTTCTGTTTTTAAAGGAACAACTGGCATGGGTGTAGATTAAGTTGGGGTGTGAGTGTGGGAAAGAGATGCGTCAGAGCCAGCCTGTCATGGGCAGGCGTACCCTGGTGAATTGTGTTGCAGGGCAGGGCACTGGCACACATGGGCAGGGGAACCTGGCTGGTGACTCAGGCCTGTGGCTGCCTTGGGGCAGCACTCCTGGGGCCACGGAGACCTGTCTTCTGGGTGTCTGTGTTTCCACGTTGATTTACCCTAACTCGCACACCTGACTTTGCATTAACCTGTGACTGTGACACTTGATGCAGCCTAATTTTAAGTACCCTCCTGCCCCCCACAAGTTTCTCACCTCGGTTGCTCCCATCACAGAGTGGGGATCCCTCACTGTGGTGTGGCTGATCTAGAGACTTTTAGGGTAAAGAAGTCTGAGGCTCTGCTCTGATGTCTACCACTTCACTGTCAATGGGTGATGGTGTCATCTCCGGATTTTTCCATGTAAATGTCCTCGTACACACGAGCACTTGCATTTCAGTGGGTCGAGTCCCAGGAGCTCAAGGGCAGGAGCACAGTGTGCTTCTGTCTGTGATTTACATTGCTTTTGCCAGAATGCTTTCTCAAAACTCTCCCTGCCAGCCATGGGCGGCCCCTCCCATCTCAACCAACAGTCAGCATCAGGATGTGAAGTCAGACTTCATTGTCATTTAATTTGCATTTCCTCAACTCCTTAGGAATTTGGACATCTTCACTTCTGCTCGTCCGTCTGGATTTGCTGTTCGGGAATGTTTGTTTATATCTTTGCCCATTTTGTAGTTCAGTTAGTCTTGTTCTTGTCTGTTAGTGTGAGTTTTCTGTAGGCTGTTGATGTTGACCTTCAGCATCTGTGGTACTCCTATTTCTTCTGGCTCTCTTGTCTGTCATCTGATGAATGGTGTTGGGGAGTGCCAGCTCACTGCCCTGTGCTCACCAGGGCTCGGTCCTCTCCATGTGGACCTGACCTGCCCTCCATGAGCGAGAGAAACGGTACTGGTTTTGGGGGTTTCCTGTCCAAGTGGACATGGGAGACCATGGTTTTCAGTACAACATTAGTTATCCAGCATATCTTATGATGGGCAGAATTCCCTTTAAATAAGAGTGTCATGGCTAAGAATTGACTGCATCTATAAATGTACTTGAAACTTGTTTTTTACCTTACAGGACCGGATAATTGATGCTGGCCCCAAAGGAAACTATTCCCGATTTATGAATCACAGCTGCCAGCCAAACTGTGAGACCCTCAAGTGGACAGTGAACGGTGACACTCGCGTGGGCCTTTTTGCTGTGTGTGACATTCCTGCAGGTACGATGCCTCGGGCTCTGCCCAGGGCCTCCCAGCTGTGCGCGGCAGGCAGAGTGGCCATTGCCTGATGCTGCATGTGGCCAGACTGGAAAGGCTCTGGGGAAGGGGAGTAGTGATTTGGAAGTTTTGTTATATTTTGAATATCTATTTTACGAAGCAAAATTGAAAAGCCTTGGTATGCTGGTGTGGATGTGGAAAAAATAGGAGCACGTTCTGTAGACCTAATCAGAGCTTCTCGGCATTATTAAAAGACCAGTGTTTCCAGTGTGGTGTCTCCTCTCACCCAGGGACGGAGCTGACTTTTAACTACAACCTCGATTGCTTGGGTAATGAAAAAACAGTCTGTCGGTGTGGAGCCTCTAACTGCAGCGGGTTCCTCGGGGACAGACCAAAGGTAAAGTCATCACGCCATGTGTTTCCTCGCTGATGTCAGCATTTCAGACGTCTGCGAACACATCCCTTTAGTGAAAAGTGGCTGCTTCCAAGTAGACTCGTTGCCGTGACAGGCAGGAGTGGGGTCTCGGCAGGGTGTGGGTGAGGATGGCAGAGGAGGCTGCACGTGAGGCCCCAGGCAGCTGCCGGCCTTTCTCTTCATGTGGAAGGTCTGTTGTTCGAGTTTTCTCTGTATTAGTGTGCCAAGATTGCCACAGCAAAGTGCCATAGACTGGGGACACAGAACTTTAGTCTCCTACAGTTCACGAGGCCAAAAATCCTAAATCAAAATGTTATCAGGGCTGCACTCCCTCTGAAGGCTCTTGCGGAGAATCTGTTCCATGACTGTCTCCTAGCTTCTGGTGGTTTCCAGCAATACTTGGCATTCTTGGCTTGCAGATGCATCACTTCAATCTCTGCCTTCCTCTTCACATGGCCTTCTCCCTGTCTATCTGTCTCTGTGTCTCTTTTCCTCTTATAAGGACACGAGTCATATTGGATTAAGGCCACACCCTACTCCAGTGTGACCTTATCCTAACTTAATTACACCTGCAACAACCCTATTTCCAAATAAGGTTACATTCTGAGGTTCTGGGAAGGACATGAATTTTGGGGGACACTATTCCACCCAGTACACTTTCCCCCACTTGCTGTACCATGTAAAACCTGGGCCTGAAGACACTGGACAATTGCAGGCATCTAAGCCTGGAGCAGGAATGTCCACGCTGGTGTCTGCTACTACAGCCTAGGGAATAATTTTGCTTCCCTCATTTGTTCTCACATTCATAATGAAATTCTTAATAGAAAGAACCAAGATGCACCACGTAGTGGGGCAGGAGCCACTCCTTGGCCCTGTGTGTTGGATCAGCAGATCTGGGAGGCATGGCCCTGCTGGTGCCAAGGCATTATTGTAGGAGGCTTGTGCTTGTTTCATGTTCAACTTTTCTTATGTTCAGAAAAATAAGTATAAGAATCTATTTGAGGAGCAATCCTGTTGGGCGTGCACCTTCTTCCCTATTCAGCATAGAGAACTCCCCTATTCTTTTGATGTTAGAACATCTCCAAAGATTTCTAAAATTCCTGTATCTTAACTTTGGCTCTTTTGACCTCTCTTTTTATAGTTTGCTTTTTATTATTGCTTCAGTCCATGCAATTCTTTTAAGTGAACTGTATTTACTTCTGAATTCTAGACCTCAACGTCCCTTTCTTCAGAGGAAAAGGGCAAAAAGTCCAAGAAAAAAACCAGGAGGCGTAGAACAAAAGGTGAAGGAAAGAAGAAGTCTGAAGACGAGTGCTTCCGCTGTGGCGATGGGGGCCAGCTGGTGCTGTGTGACCGCAAGTTCTGCACCAAGGCCTACCACCTGTCCTGCCTGGGCCTGGGCAAGCGGCCCTTCGGTGGGTGAACAGGCTCCACTGCAGCCTTCTGGGGTTCCAGGGCTGCACCACGGGCTTTCCCCGTCCATTGTTCTCCCCACCTGGCCTCTCCTCTCCTGCCTAGGCCTCACCCAGGCACAGGTGTAATTACAAGGCACCCTTGTAATTCAGGTAGTGAGCCCCCAGCTCAGGGTGGCAGAGGCTTTCCTCGTTCAACTAGATCTGCACATTGAGTTGAGATCTGCTGTGTGAATGACCATGGAGCCTGCTAGATCACCCAGAGGAGGGGCTCAGGCAGCCGCCCTCACAGGCCCAGGTGGAGAGGCAGCTCTGTGAGTTGGTGCCTGGTCAGTGCTGAAGCCTGAAATGAGCCAAGCCAGGGCTGGTGCATGGGAGGAAGGAGGTGGCCCTGGGAGCAGAGCTCTTCCCAGAAGAGAAGGGTCTGTGGCCTCCCAGGCTGCACCAGACCTAGGAAGGAGTGCAGGGAGCCACCCTAGACGTGGGCTGCTCCCCTCAGAGATGGCACTTATGTGTCAGGAGGAGCTGCTTGGTGATGATGGAGCTGCAGACCTGCCTCTTTATCTGGAAGACGAGGGAGTGAGCTCTACCTTCTGCTACCACCACATTTCAAAGATTACAGTGGGCATCAGTGTGAAAATATTAACTATGATCTCAGAAGAAAAATTGAGAGGTGCTTACCCAAAGACAGAAAATGTGAAAAGCTATAACAAGAAAAGTCAAACATGTTTGACTGGGGAAAAACAAAAAACTTTGGCAAAAGATGACAAAGCAAGGTTAACAGATAAATATTAGAGAAAAGTATTTGTGGTGAATGTAATAGTTATCCCTAACTTAACAAAGAGCCTCTACAAATTAATGCCAGAAAGATCAATACTCCATGGGAAAACTGGTCCAGGCTACAAATAGGCAGGTCACAGAAGAGAAGCCAGGGTGATCAGTGGACGTGCACAGAACTTAGCCTCGTTTGTGGGCAGAAGGCCCAGCATGCCACCCACGCCCGCTTAGCGCTGGTAGGCGTGGTGACCTGGACCTCCGAGGCGGCCAGGTGGGGCCTGTTCACAGGGTGGGCGCTCTCCACCAGGCCCACCCACCCACCCACCGCGCCTCTGAGCACCAATATTAGCGTCTCTTTATGTTTTGAGAGTTGGATGGAAAGCAATCTCTTGTTTAATTTGTATTCATCTGAGTAGACAGAGTTTTAAAATTTGTTTTCAACCATGAAAATGTTAAAAGTTGTGATTCCGTCACTACTGTCTGGTAATGTTTTGTGTTTCGTTCCAGGGAAGTGGGAATGTCCTTGGCATCATTGTGACGTGTGTGGCAAACCTTCTACTTCATTTTGCCACTTTTGCCCCAATTCGTTTTGCAAGGAACACCAAGATGGGACAGCCTTCAGCTCTACCCAGGATGGGCGGTCATACTGCTGTGAGCATGACTTGGGGCCAGAGTCGGTTAGAAGTGCCAAGACTGAGAAACCCTTTCCAGAACCCATGAAGTCAAAGGGGAAGAGGAAGAAGAGGAGGTGTTGGCGGAGGGTCACCGAAGGCAAATAGCGCCACGTGGTGGCTTGGCCAGATCCAGGGCAGCGTTGGGCAGCCAGCCCACCTTGTGGGTAGAGGGCCGAGTGTGGGACTGGCCCGAAGGACCCAGCTTGAAGCCACCACAGATAGAGTATAGGCCTCCTAGGGAGGGAGCGTCTTCCCCACCACTGAGCCATCCTCAGCAGCGCCCGCTGCTCTGCACTGATGACCCATCTGAGCCGCGTGGTTCGGAAGGTTCCAGGACAAACAAGCCTTACTACACAGCATTACAGCTACACTTGAATTTCTAAGAATGTCAAGGTTCCCTCCCACTCTATTTTTTTAGGATAAAGTTATGATTGAAATTTAATTGGCATATGAAATGTTTTTATCTCACCCGAAATGTATAGAGTAGTATTTTTTCTAAAGGATCACTATTATCTCTTTAATCTTAACAATGTTACTCAGTCTGCTTACCTGTCGTCATCACTCAGGAGAGACCAGGGTGGGGCCTGGGCAAGGACTCAGACCCTGAATTCCTTGGAAATCATAATTTTGATCATTATTTTGCTCTTAGGAAACAACTGTATGATTTTTTTATACTAATGTGAAATTTTTCCTCAAAATGCTTCTTTTCCATCCTAGTGAGAAGCCGGCCCCAGGAATGGTGATAGTGATAGTGTTGTTGTAAGATTTCCCCTGTAGGTTTTTTCTCTTCATGGATTTGAACTAAATGCCGCTATCATGTCAGCCTTTAAAGGGTAGGGTCGCATGGAGCAGCCTTTCCTGACGAGGCTCGGTTGGGCGCTTCTCACCTGTGCCTGTCTCCTGAACACACTAGGTTCTTACCAACATTGGGGGAAGACTTTGTATATTTTTTTTTGTTTGGCTTTTATCAGTTTCTGGCTTTATTCTCAATATATTTTTGCTAAACTTGTTTCACAAATTACCACCGACTGAAATGTGTATTTACTGATGCGACCCTGAGTTCTCACAACAAAAGGAATGAACTCGGTAGGGCTGTGGCCCCTGTGGTGAGTTTCTTTCAAGTGAAAACTTAGGGACATGGTTTTGAACGTGTTGTGTTCTGCCCTCCCTGTAGTACCGCAAGTGACGGTCCAGCAGCAGGGCACTGCTAGGTGCTCCCCTCTTGGGACCCAGTGGACGTGGGAAATGTGCATTTCTGGAAAATGTTCTTTTCGGGGTCTGAGCAGAGACCTGGAGTTTAGAACTATTGCCATCTGAAGTTATTTCCATTTCATCACACTTTGTGGGTCTGTTCATGGAAAATGTGAATTCTGCTGGTCACACATGCTCAGTACCACCGAGAAGCACTTGTCCTGGGGCTTGAGGGCTGCTGGGCACCACCGACCTGACGGGCATGTGGGGATCTGGTCTTGCGATGGCCAGGCCTGACACTGTTTCCCTGTGAGATTTCCGTTAACCTTTAGTTATTAAAAGGCCCAGCCCCATAAAGTGAGAAACTTCTGGGAAGTACTAAGTTCTCTGTGGAAGACTTGATCCTTCTTTTCTAGAGCTTCTCTGAGCATCCCAAGAAAAGGGGCTGAGAAAAGGGGGAGCGTCCTTCCAGGCACCCCTGTGCCCTCAGAGGGGCCTGCCTGTCTCCACATGTGTGATGAGAGGGAACACTCAGCAGCAGGTGCTTTTTTCTGGCTTTTTCTTACAATAACCTGAGGAAAACATCTATTCTGCAGAAAAGTTTACACAACTCTTCTTGAAAACTGCTACTGAGGTCTCCTGTTACTGTCTATTGTTTTTACCTTGTAGACTTGCAGGATGTACTTGGGCCCAAGACCCCTGTTCACTACTTCTTTGTGCTTTTGTGACATGAGCTCTTGGGGGCGGTGGTCTCTGCCAGGCTGTGACCCTGGGGCAGAATCTGCTTCAGGTGTGAGGCTCCTTGGGGCCTGCAGGGTCCACGCTTCTCCTGAGCACTGACTAGTAGGAGAGTTTTACTGACTGTGGCCATCCCTTTGGCTCTTCTATCAATCATGATTCTGGAAAACGTAACCACACACAGGACCATAAGGAGAAACGAGAGCTCTGTCTTCAGGTTGCTGTACTTCCGTAGGCTCAGCCACCCTTGGGAATGCACCTGCTTGGTAAGACATGGGAACTGTGGAGGATTACAATTTAGAACTCTGATTTCCCTCAAATAGTCAAGAAATTAGTGGATTGATTTATAGATTTTATGCTCCTTACGCCTTAACTTGGAAGAGTGTTCCCGTGACGGGACCCGGCAGCATTCCCATACCTGTGTGTTTTGTGTGTAGGCCCAAGGGGCACCCGAGGCCTGGCACAGGCACAGCTGCCATGTGGCCCTGCTCTTTAGAGCTAAGGGCCTGAGTGCGAGCCAGTGTTGTCACTTGTCCTACCAGACGAGGGACTTCTGCATAAGTCAGAACATCAGAATTGGTTTTGCAGTGCACTTTGAGGAGCAGATTAACTTATTTTTGTATTTGACAGTAGTGAAATCTAGTGATTTTTGAGTTACTTTGATATTATTTCCAAATTCTTTTATGATCTTTCTGAAGGAAATACTGGAAAAATTATTTTAAATATGGTTGCCTTCTTCCCAAAAACTGTTAAACTAATGAGCAATTAACACTAACTTTCAAAACCTCTAGAAAACTAGTTGATGCATCTGAGCACAACAAGGCTTTGGAGTAGCGGCTGAGCTTGAAGGGCCTTCCTTCCCATTGGGGCCAGCGGGGCACATGGCCATGACTGTGGCCTTTACCCTGAGGGTCTGAGAGCTCTTTTTTGGGGATTTGGTCTTTCTGAACATCAGCTTCAGTCCTTTGTCATTAATGTGAAGCAGAAACAAAATGAAAATTGTCTGAACACCTCAGGATTCCTCAGCATCAGGAACCAACCAGGATCCGCACCTAAACCTGCACCCACGCACATCAAGTCACATCTGCCTGTGCCAGCACTGACCTCTGGGAACATGGGTGCCTCTCACATTGTGCGGGTCATAGGGATGTGTCCAGTTCGGCAGTTGTTATAAGATGTGACCACTGTGGGGAAAGCAGTCTGGCACCCACAGCAGTGGTGGGCATCAGTCGTCTGTCCCATCCTCTGAGGAACTGCGTGGACACCAGCCTTGCCCTTGTTTCCCGGGCCCCACACACACTCAGGTCTGCACTTCTCATGCCTTCCAAGTATTTATCTTGACATATAAACGTTAATGTGTCTAGTGCCCATCTTCCAGAACTACCTTATTTTCAGGAATTAAAGATAAGCCTGTTATAATGAAAGTTAATGCAAACGACTGTCAGTTGCCAAATTTTCGATCCTATGAGAAGTGTAGTCTTTGATGAATGTTAGTCAATAGAATAAAATGCTGTGTCCGTGGGTGTCACGGTGTCCACCGTACCCTGTTGAGATGTGAAATGCCCTGTCAGAAATTAAATTTAAATGTACTTATTGGTGTCTAAGCTTCATACAGTATGAGGTGAGGCTCCTTTTAGGAATACTGGGTGCTATCACCAGTTTTGACAGACTTAAAAACTTGAAATTCACTTCTAGGGGGAATATACTGAAATGTAGATTTGAGAATTGCCAGTTGGGAGAAAATAGCATTTAAAGTGAGAAGTTGTGTTTGGAAAAATTGTGTATGAATATTTTTGTATTAAAAAAATTTTAAAGGCTTTTATCTTAAACTTATTTTATATGGGATTGCATTTTGAGTTTTGGGCTTTTTTCCACTTTTCCAGTTACTTTGAGTTGTTTGTTTGTCATTCCACGGATTCTGGCACAGTGCTCTGACAGCCCCTCACTCAGGGAAGGGCTCCTGTCCTCAGACGTCATCCTGCTTTTGACTTGCTGCGAGAGGCTAACGTGGCCGTGAGAAGTATAACAAATACTGGAAACAGTAAGTGTAGTTCTGATTTTGGAAAAATGCTTTTTTTTCTTTTAAAAATAACTTGAGGGGGCCGGCCCAGTGGCGCAATGGGTTAAGTGCGTGTGCTCCGCTGCAGCAGCCCGGGGTTCGCAGGTTCGGATCCTGGGCGCGCACCGATGCACCGCTTGTGGCGGCGTCCCATATGAAGTAGAGGAAGATGGGCATGGATGTTAGCCCAGGGCCAGTCTTCCTCAGCAAAAAAGAGAGGAGACTTGGCAACAGATGTTAGCTCACGACTGATCTTCCTCACACACACACAAAAATAATAACTTGGTTCCCAAATACCCGTGAAGGTGAAATGCTGTGTCAGGAGAGAAGGAGCTGCTGACTTGTCCCAGCCCTGCAGCTGGCTGAGCTCCTGGCCCTCAGTCTTCTTGAGAAAGCCTTTGATGTGCCCCTCTCCCCCGGACCCATCTTTGGGAATGACCTTTGTGCTGACCCCACCACCACCTGCCCTGAGAGAGGCTGGGGCCCTGGAGCACAGAGGATGAGCTGGCCCAAAACACAGCTCTGGGGCTTTCTTTAGAAAAGCTAAACTTTAATTACTCAGGTAGTTTTTACAATGAAAACCGGTACCCGAAGACTGGTCTTAAATGCTCATGACTGTAGAAAAGACATACAAACCCTGTGGGCGATGAGTGCGGCCAGACAGCTCCTGCTCTCAGGCCTTGGCGACCAGCCCCATCCTGCTCTCAGCCTCGCTGGGCACCACCTTTGGTCGCCTCAACCTCGTGGGGTAGAAAGCGTGCTGCACTAACAAGGAAAAACCCTCCCTCATGGTCAGTGGAATTTAAAAAAAAAGATAAAAGTCTAAGAGGCAGAGCTGTCACTAAAATTAGGAAGTAACTTTTTTGGTTAATTTTAACATTCAAAAATGTAATACTGAATCCAAAAAAGTGTCTTAAATCACACAAAAGGTAACCCATATTAAAATTTAAAAAGTAAGTCCAAAACACCCCAGAGAAACGAATGTAAAGCTTCAGTAGGCTGGGGCTTGGCAGCACATCAAGGCAGGTCACCCAGCGAAGCCAGCAGCGCTGTCGTCCCCCGAAGCCTGAGTCAAGGCCAGCAGAGGGGCGGCCTCTAGGACACATTGGCCATGGGCTTGTACTTCTTGAAGCGCGTCCACTGGCCCGTGGCGTAGTTCATCTCGAAGACCGTGTCCACCAGCATGGTAGTACTGCCCTGGCCATCTGCCTTGGGCAGGTCCTCAGTGTGCTCACTGAGCTTGATCTGGATCACATCGCCCTGCTCCTGGCACGGGTTCTCTGCAGACGGCAGGGGCTGCTGGGCAGGGTGCCTGGGGCCAAGGAGCCCAACCCCCACCCCTGTGGGGCCCACTCCCCCCACCCCACCTGGGCGGGCCATGTGGACCCACCTCGGGAGCCGGCCATGAAGCCCAGAATGAGGGCCTTCTCGGGCCGCGTGACTTTGTTGGCCGTCTTGAACATCTCCTGCGCAGCAAACATCTGCTCTCTCTGCAAGTGTGGAGAGGAGGTGTGAGTGCCTGGGCCCCACCAGCTCACCTCCTGCCACCTGGAGGCCCATGCCAGGCACAACTGGCACCCCCACTGCAGGTGAGGCCATAACACCTGGCTGGTGGCCCACGGTCCCACCAAAGCACACCTACCGTGAGGGACAGGTTCTTCTTGGGCTGCTGCTGGGTGGAGGGCTGGGTTTGCGGGGCCACCATGGCCACCGGCGGTGTCTGGGCAGTGGGGGTGACGGCCGGGGGTGTGGTAGGTGTCAGCGGTGAGGAGGGTGCTGTCGGAGTGGGCGCAGGTGTGGCCGGGCTCAGGCCGCTGTTGTACATGGGTGCCCTCTGTTTGAACTGTGTCGGCAGCGCGGGGCTTGGGGCACTGGACTCCTCGGGCGGGCGGCTGGCCTGCAGGCTGGCTTCTCGGGAAGATGGGGCTGCAAGTAGAGTGAAGCCTGGTGAGGGTGCCAGCAGGGCCAGGGACCCCCACCCCCACACCCCATCCCTCCTAGAGAAAAGGACAGGCTCTGCTCCACTTCTCAGGCCCTGACTACTGACCCCGTCCTGCCCTGGAACCCACACACTGCCTGACTTCCGTGACCCTGCTTGCCCTGAGACTGGCTCTGTGCTTTCTGAAGGGAGGCCCTCTGGCCCGCAGCTGGAGCAGGAGCCATCCAGCTGGGTGATGGGCACAAGCCTCCAGGAGCCCCACCCTCCAGCCAGAGGTCTCAAGCCTTGCTAGATGGGCAGATAAGATGTCCGAACTCTGGTCAGCTCCTGGCCTGGGAGGCCAGGTTCCCCCACCCTGGCCACTGGTGAGAAAACAGGAAGGCAGCCTCCAAAGCCCAGCATGGCTGCCTGACCTCAAGGCCCTCTCTGGCTGCCTTCCTCCCCAGGGCCAAGCACCTGGCAGGCAAAGCCGAGCCCAATGGAGCAAAAGCCTCAGAACAGAAACCACTAACTGCCTTTTCTTCAGATACCTTCTTTCTTATATTCTAGGTATGAGGGTACCCTGGCCCCTCAGGTTCTGTAACCTTGGCAACCTCCTCCTGCTCCCACACTGGGACTCGCTCCTGTTGGGCTCTACAAGGGGCAGCTGTTTGCTTCCCCCCGGGAAAGGCAAAACAGGTGAAAACCTGGGGTTTATTTCTTGAAACTTGTGCTAGCCAGGAGGGTCTCCCACCCCCAGGCAGCACCAGCAGGTCTGTAGAAGGACACAGGACAGATGTCCTGACACCCGAGGAAGCACCGCGTGAGCAAGTCCTGGGAAGATGCTGCTCCCTCCCTGGTGGGTGCTGGTGAGGGGCCTCAGGGAGGCTGAACCTGACACAGAGTGCCCCCTGGGTGAGCTGAGGGCTCAGAGGCCCTGCTGCCTGCTCACCTGGTGGGGTCTCGGAGCTGGGGATGTAGGATGAGGCTGGGACCACGCTGGGCGTGGCAGGCAGGTAGCTCGTGGAGGGCAGCACAGGCTCATTGTTCAAAGACCCGAGTTTCTGCAAGACAGTGTATGGTCCCTTCCAGAAGAGGCCGGGGTCTCTGTGTGAGACCAGACTGTGTTTCCCCCAGACGCTGGGCTGTGCTGGCTCCTCCGCGGGCCTCGGCAGCTCACCCGCATGCAGACATAAACCTCCACCTCCACAGGAGGTCCCCCTCAACCCTGAAGTAGGACACTGCTTTCCCCAGGGCTGGGGAAGGGGACTTCTCCGAACCACAAGCCCCCATGCTCGGCAGTACTGAACCCCAAACATCAGGCCCTTCCCTGCTCCCGCCCCCACCCCCCCCACCTGGAGCTGCCTCAGCAGAGGAGAAGGGGGCTGGGCTGCTCCTGTTTGGTCAAGGAGCCTCCCAAACCAGCCATCTTTGAGGAAAGAAGAAAGTTCAACAATGTTTTTTCTTACCACAAGAGCATATGATAAAGGGAAGACATGCTCACTATCAGAAAATGAGAAGACACAGCTGTGCACTAAGAAGGAAGTAAGCCATTACTCAGAAACAACTGACGGTGACAAGGCCTGCTCCAGGCCCTGCCTGCAGACATATCGCCACAAGCTGCGCCTGCACAGTCTGCGTAGAGGAGACGAGAGGCGAGCTGCGTATGGCTGCCTAACCTCCCCCGCGGCAGGCAGGACCTTTCCCCGCGGGCAGAGGTCTTCTGAGCAGTAAAGCGAACTGTGTTGAGGCGCCACATCTGGCAACTTCAGCCCACCAGCGCTCGCCCTCCCTCACCCTTGCACCTGCAAGGCTAGCATCACCACCTTCGCTGGACAGAGGGGAAACCGAGGCGCAGTGGAGAGGCTTGCCAAGGAGCCCCTCCAGCCGGCACATGTGGCACGTGCATGTTGCAAACCCAGGTGCCGTGCCCATGTCAGGGCCTCTGGCTGGCGCTGCCTCTCATATACATGTCCATATACACACATACACACATACGTGCACACATACCTGCACACATATGTACGTACATATGTGTATACACATATATACTCTCTGATAGAACACGTTTTAGTGGCTAACAATCGGAACAAGAAGGAGCACACACTTGGGCCACGTGAGGCTGCAGGGAGAGACTGGCAGTCGTGGGAAGCGCCGCAGACTCACTAAAGCCCTACCTGTGTGGACACCAGGCCGGCTGCGTAGTCTGGGGTGGCGTTCTCAACGACTGTCTCTTCCTTGGCTGGCTTTTCCACCACCTCCGTATCTGTTGACAAAGCAGAGTCCTCATCAGTGCCCCTGGCAGTGGCCCACCTGAAGGGCGGGCCTAGCAGACCTGGTTCAGAAGGTGCATGTGTCACCCACGCAGGCTCAGCAAGACAGTTCTGAAATACTACACAAGTGTGCACTTCAAACACGGGTCTCCAGGCAAAGAAGAAAATGAGTCCTTAGGAAATGTGCTGCCATTTGTGGTCACCTCTTTTCAGTTAGAGATGATCTTGTTGAGACATAAAAGGCAACAGTAAGACAAGAAACGCAGGCCTCCACGAGAAAAGGAAGAGGAAGGGTCAGGAAGCCTGGCCCTTTCCCCGTGGCCTGGCAGCCCTCACCAAGGCCCCCAGCAGCGCAGCCGCTCTCCCTCCCCAGACCCTGACAGGAAGCCCCTGATACGCACCCAATGTCTTCCTTCTTCTCTTTGCTTCTCGACCTGCGCCGACCATATCCAGCTCAGAAATGTCAAGCAGCTGCCAAAACAGACAGAAGCCCACCTTTAAGTACAATGTAAGCAGCGCCAAGGCCAATCTTGTGGGGGCCCCGACACCAGAGGGGACGTGCCCACCTTCACTCCCCTCTCCTTCCGCAGAGGCGTCCTCGAAGGCGGGATAGGGGTCCGATTCCCGGCAGGGCTGAAGACACTGGGGGTGGTGGGACTTCTGAAGGGCGCCTGCTTTGGGATGCCTTTGAGGGGGGCTGCAGAGAAGATGGTGCCTGTCAGTGGTCCAGTGGCGATGACCAGCAGGGATGGCCGGGGATGGGGCTGCCCCAGGGCAGGACGGCAGGGAGTGGCTTGTCTCCTGCCACTGGTATGTTCTATGCTTTTCTATTACAAGCACAGGCTGTTCCGCCCAGGTGTTCTGGAGGAAGGAGATGCTAGCCTGCTCGCCTCACCCACTGGCACCCCTCAGCAGGCTGAGCCTGATTCCCACAGATTCACCGCATCTCTATGAGGGCAGGTGGAGGTGACGTCCCCAGGATGCCTGCAACTCCTGTCCTTAGGGAGCGAGGGCCTGCCCTTTCCCTGCGTCCAAGCACTCACCATCGAGTTGGCCTGCCCAGAAGAGTGAGGCCCCTGGGAAGCAGTGATATCACAGCTAACCTATGACATTTTTGCCAAAAACACTGAACTGAAACAAAGACGCCACACCTGCAACTGCCCGCCCTAACACACTGAGTCTTTTATCAGCACAGACAGCTCTCTCAACCTCCGCTTTTTTCTTGCGCCTCTTGGTAAATGAATTTGTTACAGGCTAGACGCCCACACACTCTGCAGCCACAATCACCCTCCCTCTCTCCCCAAGCCTGGTCCTGCGTCTGTCAACGGGAAGTCACCTGACATTAGGGGGCCTGACTCATTCCCTAGCCAGCTGGTGCCTCCCCATTACTGCCACCGGGACCTGTCTCAGTGTTCAGCTTGCAGACACAAGGGTCACTCACTATCAGATCTCATACAATGACCCAGGCCCAGTGCACACATGGCCCCTTCTCAGCACAGCCGACAGGACCAGAGCAGAAAAGCACCCACTAAACTATATCCTCTGGACACTGGGTTAAGGACATACTGACTGCCACCCCTATCCTCAGGACACCTGACTGGGGCGTGGAAAGGAAGGTGAAGGAAGCTTTCTCAGGAGGATGAGCATGTGGGGGCAGGCAAGGACATGACAGAGAGGGGCCCACATCAACAGGATGTGCTTCCAAGGCACCGGGGACAAAAGCCTGCCCTGAGGTGACGGGGCCAGAGGACCATCCCCCCAACAGTGACAAGTCAGCCAATACCAAGAGGGCAGGTCCTACACGAAAGCTTCAGGACTGTGGGTGTGCATGTGACAGACGGCAAGTGAACCAAGAGGGCTGGGCCCCATAGGCTTCCCTTTCGCCTCCAATGGGCGTGCACATCTGCTTTGTTTTCATGTGACCAGCCTTCCTGCTGTTTGGCCAGCCCAGGGCCCTTCCCTGGGGAGGGAGCAGTGCAGGGGCAAGGAAGGACCAGGAACTCGGGAGAATGGCTGTCCTACCCTCTGGCCCTTTGGGTTGTTTGTCTAGTGCCTTCAGGAGGCAAGCTCCAGGACAACCCATTTTCTCGTCATAAATATCTGTTCTGCTTATGTGCGTGCGGGGCTTTCTGTTCCCCACCCTGAGGGAAGGCTAAAGGTGCAGGCCTAAGAACATGGCTTTAGGGCCGGCCCCGTGGCTTAGCGGTTAAGTGCGCGCGCTCCGCTGCTGGCTGCCTGGGTTTGGATCCCGGGCGCGCACCGATGCACCGCTTCTCCGGCCATGCTGAGGCCGCGTCCCACATAGAGCAACTAGAAGGATGTGCAACTATGACAGACAACTATCTACTGAGGCTTCGGGGAAAAAAATAAATAAATAAAATTATTTCAAAAAAAAAGAAAAAAGAACATGGCTTTGGGCCGACTGGCTGTCTTAGGCATTTCACTCCCCACTAAGTCAGTTTTGAAGCTCCTGAGGAGCCACATTCCAGGAGGCATCACTTTTGCTGCCCACGGTGGAGAAGCTCAGAGGACAGCAACAGCCCCTGGGGCCAGCAGGGGCCGAGCAGGACCTCAGGCAGGAGGACGGGAACACAGTTGCCCACACCCACCTACAGGTGCTACAGGCAAGAGAGAAGCAAAAACTCATGTTTGCCTCAAATTCTGGTCTTCCTCATCTTAGCATGTTCATGCATATCTTTCCAGGTCTTTCTGTAAGTGGAAAAGCTTCTGAAATTAACCTTAAGCTCTCTCCTCACATCACAAATGCTCCCCAACAGACCTGGAAGGCACCTTTAGGACCTTCTGTCTGATCAGATCTCAACATTTAAATGACTTTGCTAACGAGGAAAAATAGTACCCTTATATTAGGGTACTACCCTCATGTTTGACAAGTGACAGACAGCTCTGACCCATAAGCAAGCCCAGACACATCAGGAGTCCAGAGGCCCTCAAGCTTGAACGCACAGCAGCATGCACGGGCCACCTGGGCAGGGCGAGTGCAGCCTTACTTGTGGTGTCCATCTTCCGGAGCAGCCCCCGGCCCTTGGCGTGGAAGGGCACCCCCGCGCTCCTCTTCAGCTGCTGGGCGGTCTCGGTGGCTGTAAGGAGAAGGCTGCATGTGTCAGTACTCGTTAGAATGACAATGCACCTGTCACTGCATGTGGATTATGCCTCAATCAATCTGATTTACAAAGAAGTATGACTCTTAAGTATTCACGCACAGACACAGAGGTCTGCGTTTCTAAATAAGCATTCACTGGTTCACTGAGAAGGCCTACATGAGCTGAAACGTTGCAGCTACACTTGCTGTGTAGAAAACTACTTTCAGGTAAGTAGAGCTGTGGGGCTCCCCAGGAGATGATGGGCAAGCCTGGCACAAAAGGCAGCAGAAGGGCTCCAGAGGGGTCTGAGAAGGGCTTAGGAGGGAAGCCTTGTGGGGACCCTGTGCCAGGTCTGGAGTCGGGCCATGGGGCCTCCCGGGCAGCCGAGGTGGTGTGTCCTCACTTGTGGTCATCAGGTATAGCCAGCACTTCCCATCACAGATGCATAAATATGAGGAAGAAAGGAAGAGATTTTCCTGACCCGATTCAGGGAGGGACAGGGCTCCTGCGCACAGCGCCAGGTTCTGCCTCAGGAGGGCAGGTGCAACTGCTGACCACACAGAGGGACTGAAGAGTTGAGCAAAGACCGTGAAAGGCTGCCCAATGGGCTTGAGGCCTGGGCCGTGTCTGGCCAGCTCCGTGAAGCCACAGAGCAGCGCTGGCCCCAGGACGCTGCCCATTCTGAACCATGAGTCATAAATGGCTACTGTGTTTTATTCATATTTTTTGAAAACAAGGCATTTATGTAGTAATCCCCCCTTATCCATAGTTTTGCTTTCTGCAGTTTTACCCGAGATCAACTGTGGTCTAAAAACATTAAATGGGAAATTCCAGATCTGAGTGGCGTGGTGTGAATCATCACTTTGTCCAGTGTATCCACACTATATATGCTATCTGCCCATTAATCACTTAGTAGCCATCTCCCTTATCAGGTCGACTGTCATGGTATCACAGTGCTTATGTTCCAGTGACTTGTATTTTACTTAATAATGGCCCAAAGCTCAATAGTAGTGATGCTGGCAGTTCAGATATGCCGAAGAGAAGCTGTAAAGTGCTTCCTTTAACATAGTACATACAGCGTTTGGTACTATCCATGGTTTCAGGCATCTACTGGGGGTCTTAGAACATATCCCCAGCAGATAAGGGGGGACTACTGCATGTTATTAATATCAATTCCAAAACCATTCAAAACAAAACAGCTTATTGAAATCTGTGTTTTGCTATTTGGTTGAAGAAATCAATTTCCTTGCCTTTTTCCCAGCAAATATCTACCACACATTTTAATGTCAAATTGAGATCATTTGCAATGAAAGAATAAGGTAAAGTTACAGGAGGAAGGATCCAGCCTTTCAGAAGCCTTTTTGAGGCTGCCTGTCTCAGCACCTGTGAGACTCTCAGTACAGACTTCATTTTGTAACAAAGATTGTTACAGACACTTTAACCTGAAAATTCTGAAGTTTCTAAAGCAGATTTTTAGACTGCACCATTTAACATAGGAATAAATAAATTTCTTAAAAAAAAAAAAACCACTATGTAGAACTCTGTCCTGAAAAGACAGTTTTTAGGTACCATAAAAGCTAAAAGAAATCTAAAAATAAAAACTATAGAAATAAGACAAAAGCATGATTTGCTCTGCAGTCAGTTTTCCCAAATCTGCTGAACCTCCAAGGCTGGGCGTGGCCCCCACTGCAGAGGGTCCCAATGAGGCCCGAGGCCAGCCCCCTCAGCCAGGCACACCCACCCTCCAGACCCGCATGAAGATGGTGGGCACTTACATTTCTGCAGGAGCTCTGCCCTCAGCGTGGCACTCTTCGGTTTCCGTTTTAACTGAAAATGTTTCACTGGGGGAGTGAGCGGTCCGGCGAGGGTTGTCAGAGCGTTTTTATTCAAGTACTGGCACTCCAGCGGCAACATGGCTGATGCTTCGCACTCATTCACTGCCCGTTCAAGAACCAACACAACACGTTAGGAGGTGCGTTTCCCTTACACAGGCCACGAGTTTCACAGCTAATAGGAAAAGACAACCGAAAATGCAGTTTCCTGTTTATAGTCGTGGAGCTTCTGCTTTGTTTTCAAAACAGAAAACAAGTATCCATGAGACTAACTCCCCAGTGTTTCAGCTCTGCCATCACCCAGCAATCAAAGCCATCCACGTGGGCTGAAGGTCAAGGACTAGCAGCCCATCCACCAGGAGGGAGTCAGTGGACTCCCTAGGGAGCTTTTCAGAGGCAGAACGGCCTGGGCCCCACCAGGAACTGCTGGGCTTGAGGGTGTGCGAGTCGAGGGTCAGGAGTGTCTTGGCTTGTTAGTTGTAAGCATTAGGCACCAGAGATGTACATCAATACAGCTATTTTCGGAAGATGTTTTCTGCATTCCTAGAGCATCAGAAAGTTTTGCCGAAACACGCCTTAGGCAGAAGGAAAGGAAACTCTGTGGCCATCATGGCTTCTCTCCTCCAGTCCCCATGGCCCCGGTCAGTGGTCCCTCCTGCACCCTGCTGAATCCTGGCCCTCAGACGAAGCACCCAGGCATGCTTCCTAGGTCTGTCTGTTCACCCAGTGAAGGAAGTAAATTATATTAAAAATTTAAAAGTTAATACCTTAGAGACAGGCACCTCCACACCCTAAGGATTCCTGGTATAAGGGGGAACGTTTATCGATCCTGACTGACTCTATTCATAGAAGACTCGCCCTAAACTGTTCGGGGAAAATTGAGAACAAGAGAGTGCTCCAGAGTGATAAGTTTGGGAGGGTCGGGGTGGAGGGGGTCCAGATGGGGACGCGTGTGTGTAACCTGATAATTGCTTCGCGCCATAGCAATTCGCGCCATAAAATGTAACTGTTTAAATGTTTTAAATTAGCCAATCATGTAAGACCGCGCCAACCTTTTCCCGCTTTATGCTTCCGAATCCTATAAAAGAGCTTGCCCCTTAAGGTTCGGGGTCGACCCCTCTGTCTCCTGCGAGAGATACGTGTCGACCCGGAGCTCCGCTTAATTAAAACCTCGTGCATTTGCATCAAGCTCGGTCTCCTGTGTCTGTGGGTCCGCGCCTTCCCGAGACTGGAGTTGGATTTCCTTTTTGGAATCCTACACCAGCAGTTAGAGCTCAGTAGAAAACCCTGGGAGAAGCAGCTCCTGCTGCCTCGAATCAGTTGATTAGCTAACCTAGAGGGAAAGCACAGGTGAGCCACACCCCTGCTCCCCCCCCACCCCAGAGGATCAGGCCCCCCAGGGGCCAAGAAGCCCATTTGGAGCGGAAGACAGAGCAGGCCCTTCCTATTGCCTGAGAGACGTCACCCAGGTGGGCGTGGGCCTTGTCTGGATCCTTGTCAAGCTAACCACCAGGACACAGACATCTTGGGTTTGCTTCCTGACACTCTGAAAGTATCTATGTTGTGCGTGTGCAGTTACAAATCAAGTGAAAACCTACAGAGTGAGAGCGAGTGGTCACCTCGTAGGTGAGAAAAGGTGTCGGGAGCAACATGGGGGATAGCCAGGCCACCAGGCCTGCAGGAGCACAGGGGCACAGGTTCCATCTTTAAGGGGCTGCCAGTTCCAACCCTCCAAACTAGGAGAGGAACAGACCTTCTCCTCTCACCATGTTCTTTCAGACCATTTGCAAATGACTGTCAATCCATGTTTAAACAACTGAACTGCTGAAAGTTTCAACACACATTTCTTTTTTGTGTGTGTGAAGAAGATCAGCCCTGAGCTAACATCCGTTGCCAATCCTCCTCTTTTTTGCTGAGGAAGACTGGCCCTGGGCTAACATCCCTGCCCATCTTCCTCTACTTTATATGGAACGCCGCCACAGCACGGCTTGACAAGTGGCGTCGGTGCGCGCCCAGGATCCGAACCTGCGAACCCTGGGCCACCAAAGCGGAGCATGCGCACTTAACCGCTGCGCCACCAGACCGGCCCCTCAACACACATTTCTGAGCATCTACTCTGCCAGGGAATGTTCTAGGCTCTGGAGATACAACCTGAATAGGCAGAGCCTATACCCTCACGGAGCTGAGCAGGGACAGTGTGTGGGCGTGAAAACAATACGTAATGCAGATAAAGCAAGTGCAGTGAGGAGGGGCCTACGGGCTGTTACAAGCTTGTTTTTTAAAGCCTGGCAAAATATGAAGGTAGCACATGAAGGGTGTATACAGTTAACATTTTAGGAACCACAGGACACTACACAGTACACAATATAACAAGTTCAAATTCATTTTAGAAAAGATGATTTAAGGAAGACCTGTTTCCCTTCTCCCAGCATAAACCAAACACGTACACAACGTACCTTTTTCTCTAAGTTCTCCTAAAATATCTTGAACGTTGGGATTTTGCTCTTCAAGATCCAGATTAAGAGAACCGGTATCGGGAAAGGACTTCAGAATGTCAGCTACCATGAGAACCCAGGGGTCCGAGTCCAGAGTGGCCAGCTGGATGATCTCTGTCAGGGCACCCTTCATCTGCCAAGAAAGGAGAGATGATGGTCCTGAGCGGGATGCCAACAGCCTGCTGGGCAGCCATATCACTGCCCTCAAGCCCATGCTGCCCCTGTTGGGAACCCATCACCTGCTCCTCGAGCAGCACTGCCACCTCGCGTGTGAATGTAGGGCTGGAGCCGAGCAGAAGTGAGTGTCCGTGCACCTCTGTTATTAAACACAGAGAGGAGCCCAAAGCAGTGTCCAACCTCTACAGCAACTGCCCCCATGCCTGGCCGCACCCTCATGGGAACCTGTAGGCTCCCTTCCTCTGCGCCCCCCACCCCAGGACCATCCCGCTTCCCTAGGCTGCCACAGCCTCCGCCAGGCTGCAGTGGTTGCAATGCCCACTCGCATCTAGTGCCCCCACCTTGGCCTGTCGCTTGCCCTCTGCAGGGGTGGGCACAGCTCCCCACAGCCTCCTGGACGGCTCCTGGCAGCACCCAGTGTCCTGGTGTGCTGAGACAACAGCAAATGGGAAGGCCATCCAAGACAAGCTGGCACATTCCAGTCCCTGCCTTCTTTGAGTGCATGTTGCTAAGGGCGTAAGCTGGGCCACCAACGCCCCCGGTTTAGGAAACCTGCTGATGGAAGCATCTTGGGTAGTGACAGGGGAACACCAAGGCAGGTGAGTGACCTTGACATGCTCAGCAGAGCAAAGGGTTGGCGTGTCAGTCACCTTCGGCTGCTTGGGAAAGGGCGTGTGCCTGTGCAGGCAGAGAAAATGGGGTGGAGCACCCATCCTGTTCTGTGACCCGCCAGCCGTGCATTCGCCTAGGCCTCCCCACAGCACAGAGGATGGCCAGCGGGGCTGGAGTCAGCAGTTGCCGGGATTTGAGATGGAAGGAGACGCCTCCTGGAGGAGGCGCTGGGGCAAGGCCCTGCACTCCCCATGGCTAGGCGAGGGGCTCACGTTAGTCTCTCCGGATGACACAATAAAGAGAAGAACCTGCAGGAGGCCAGCCCCCCAGAGGACCACGGTGATGTGAGGCCCCCGCCTGCGCCCCCTCAATGCCTGGGAAGCTGAATTCTCTGCTCAGTGCTATTCTGCCCAGCCCAGAGCCCTGCCTCCTAGGGATCACTGTGGCCAGCAATGTCCCCTCCTTGCCAAAGCGCTGAAAGCCAGCACGGGTCTGCCCCACTCCTCTTTGCCATGTTTCCTCTGACCGGTGAGAACAGTGTGAAGCAGAGAGGGCGGGCACCCACCCACGAGGGATGCGGGGGTATGAGGCGGTGGTCACTCCTTGTTTAAGCCTGTTTGCTACTGTTGTGTCCAGACTGACAGACGCCCGAGCTGAAACCCGAACACAGTCCTCCTTACAACTCCCCTTCCCCTGCCCGTGTTCTGTCCCACGAAGACCCTCAACCACCCACCTGTCACCTCCAAACCTAGAGTACCGCCATCTCTCACCCGGCCTCCACTCTCACCTTCATCGCATCCATTCTCCTCACTGCAGTGGAACAGAGCTTTCAAAAATACAAACTGGGGGCCGGGCTGGGTGGCACAGTGGTTAAGTGCACGTGCTCCACTGTGGTGGCCTGGGTTTGGATCCCGGGCACACACCAACGCACCGCTTGTCAAGCCATGCTGTGGCGGTGTCTCATACAAAGTAGAGGAAGATGGGCACAGATATTAGCCCAGGGCCAGTCTTCCTCAGGAAAAAAAAAAAAAAGGAGGACTGGCGACGGATATTAGCTCAGGGCTGATCTTCCTCACACACACACACACATACACAAAAATACAAACTGGATCCCATTCATGTTTTGGCTTAAATCTCATTACCAGCTCCCCACCGGCCTCAGGAAACAGGGCAATCTGCCTCAAGAGGTCACACCTAACCTGGGTGCTGCCCGCTGACCCACCCCCCATCACACAGTCTTTCAGGAATGGCCAGGCGGTAGGAGTCCAGTGTCCCTGCCCAAATGGAACCCCTTTGCGACCTCAGACATGCGGTCCCTCCCTCTTGGCCTCACGGGGGCAGTACCTGCCATCCCCACCGGCACCATAGCCGCCCCCAACTCACCACGCTGGAGCCCAATGCATTTCCTGCCCACCCAAGAAGAGGTGCATGTGCCACCAAGGTTAAAGCTTCAAGGCTCTGGTGTCCTTTACTGACACTCTGTGCCTCGCGTTGGCCATGCACGGGATCCAGTGCCAGCTGACCTGATTCTAAAAGACCGTCTCTTGAAATACACAGAATTATGTTCTTTTGATGTATGGCAAAAATGGTAAACATTTATTTAACATTTGTGGCGAGGGACTTTTTGTTGTTGTTATAGAATAATGGCCCCCTTATTATAATTACCACTCTCCCCCTTTTATTCAGCTGAGCTATAAGTTCTGTTCTACATTAAAAACAAAAAGGCATGAAATGAAAAATTTAACAATTGTACCTGTCACTTACAATGAGTTAAGGGTAAACACATGTCCCTCGTGTATGTATGTAAAAAAAAAATATTCCTCATATCTAAAAATTATATAAAAAAAAATTCCTCATGGGGCCGGCCCGGTGGCGCAAGCGGTTGAGTGCGCGCGCTCCGCTGCGGTGGCCCGGGGTTCACTGGTTCGGATCCCGGGCGCGCACCAACACACCGCTTGGCAATCCATGCTGTGGCGGCGTCCCATGTGGGGTGGAGGAATATGGGCACAGATGTTAGCCCAGGGCCGTCTTCCTCAGCAAAAAGAGAGGAGGATTGGCGGATGTTAGCACAGGGCTGATCTCCTCACAAAAAAAAAAAAAAAAAAAAGGAGGATTGGCGGATGTTAGCACAGGGCTGATCTCCTCACAAAAAAAAAAAAAAAAATCCTCATATCTAAACCTGTTTTAGATAGGTCCATAAAGATGGCAGGTCCCACCATCAGCAATCACCCGGAAAGCATCAAGAACAGGAAACAGACTGTGTCTCGGAATGTCCATCTCCCAGATGACAACACAGGAGAGGAGAGGAGAGGCCTCAGACATAACGTGGGCCAACGGACGGGCACCACCTCACATGCCTGTGAAGACCAGAATCAACAGGATGGGCGATGACAAACGCTGGCAAAGGGGAAGAGACACTGGAGCCCTCCAACAATGCTGGGCAGGGTGTAAAGTGGGGCAGCCACTGGGGCAGTCTGTCGGTTCCCCAAAAACATAAACACAGAGTTACCATATGACCCAGCAACTCCTCTCCTAGGTACAGACCCAAAAGAACTGAGAACATACATCCACCGAAAACCTTGTACATGAATGGCTTTATTCATAATAGCCAAAAAGTGAAAACAACCCCAAGTCCATCACCTGACGAATGGATGAAGAAAATGTGGTTTATCTATACAACGGAACATAATTTGGCAATAAAAAGAAGTATTGGCGCATGCTACAACATAGACGAACCCTGAAAACATTACGGTAAGTGAAAGAAGCCAGTCACAAAAGACCACATAGTGTATGATTCCGTTTATACGAAATATCCAGAACAGATAAATCCACAGATACAGAAAATGGAATGGTAGTTTCCTGGAGCTGAGGGAGGGGGGAATGGAGAGTGTCTGCTAATGGGTACAGGGTTCCTTTTGGGATGATGAAAATGTTCTGATATTAGATAGTGGTGATGGTTGCATAACACTGAAAATGTACCAAAATCACTGAACTGTACACTTTAAAAGAATGAATTCTATGTGAATATCTCAATTTGGAAAATCGTATGAGGGAAAAAAACAGGCAGGGGAGGGAGCCAGTCCTGTGGCATAGTGGTTAAGTTTGCGTGCTCCACTTTGGCAGCCCAGGGTTCATGGATTCGGATTCTGGGCGCAGACCTACACCACTTGTCAAGCCATGCTGTGGCGGCAACCAACATACAAAATAGAAGAAGACTGGCACAGATGTTATCTTGGAGCTAATCTTCCTCAGCAAAAAAAGAGGAAGATAGGCAATAGATGCTATTAGCTCAGAATGAATCTTCCTCACCAAAAACAAAACAAAACAAAACAAACAAACAGGTGGGGGAGTACCTGAGAGGGCACCCGAGGCAAGTTCAGCCAAAGCCTGCAGAAGTCTCCAAAGCTGGCATCACACCTGGGATTGCCTAGAACAAATAGACTCTGTCCGTGCCTAGAGGCAGGAGTGTCCCTAGCCCTCGCTGGGCAGCATGTCCCCCAGATGTCAGAAGTGCACGTGCCAAGAACCACAGCTGAGCTCTCTAGAGGAGGAACCTTGACAGTGGGCTGGCAGGGGCAGAGACTGCATGGGATAGCCTTGCTGAGCCAACCTGGGCAGGTGGAGGACAAGGAAAGGCCTGTGTCCAAGGGACAGTCCCTGTCAGATGCAACAAGGCTCTGGCCCTCCCTGACACGAAGTTCCTATAAACAGCTGGGCCAGGAAGCATCTGCTTCAGTCAAGAGGAGTTAGAATCCTAAAGAAACTAGCAGAAGAGCAGCCAAAGAGTCAAACAAAAAGAAGAAAGGACCACAAAAACCAATATTCACCAGAGAAATGCTTCTACAGAGCAAATGACACTGTGACCAATGATAGTACCATAAATTTTTAAAACTCTCTAAAATAAGGACATAAAGGAGAGAAATTAGTTCAAGACACAGTAAGACAATAGGAGGTGACAAAAGCAATAGAAAAGACCATACCTAGAAACACACCTAAGATGTCGTGAAATCTCTAAGAACATGTTACAATGACGAGGAGCCCTAAAAGGGCTCGAACAGATGACAAGTATGGTGCTCTCAACACTTAAAGATGGACCTTATCCCTCAGTTAGTCTTTTAGTTTGGGGTGACCCCACTCAAATTCCAGAAAGATTTTCTCCACAGAACACGGCAGTCTGACTCTAAACTTCCTATGAAAACATCAACAAAAATAAGAAAATTTAAAAAGAGGGAGATTAATCTTACCAGATATTAAGATGTATTATAAATGCCATATGACTATGTTCCCTACCTCTCCCTTCATTCCCAAATAAACTTCAAATGGATCAGATTTCAATTTGAAAAA